ATCAATCATTGGAGAATTTTCATTTGTGTTGAGGATTGATCATGGTTTCAGTGCTCAAAACTGTAACATGCAATTTCGATTTTGTCATGTCAAGCAACTCCATCAGTAACAAGAAACTCTCTGGAACAGAAGTGCAAGGCAATAAGACTTGTTGATCAGGAGACTTATATAGAGCGTGAATCAAAGGCATTCATACGGCAAGAGAAGTTCGAGCATTGCGGAGAAATATGCGGTCAGACGAAGAGAGTTTTATCTCGATATATATAGCCAGAACAATTGATGGTATCACGGAGACCGTGTTTAAACATGCTTTGGAAGAATTTCCTGTTTGAGCATGCTTTCCTGCTTCGGTACCTTCTTATGTGAATGTTGAGTATATGAATATGTGGTTACCTCCTTAATCTTCTTGCTGTGCCCTTTTCTAGCAAAAGGGTCATTGACAGACGTGAGTTGAAAATTATGGGAGCTTGATCCTTACCTGAGCGCTGAGTTTTGGCTGGGTTCGAGAATGGTTGAAGAATGAAAGTTTCCGGTGTCCAAAAGTTCATAAGCCTTCTTCACAGTTCCTCCCATGCCCTTGGTCGGATTGGTGAGGACTAAATCGGTGCCAAATGCTCTCATCGTTGCCCTCCTGGTCCAAGCTTGTGTAAGACGGCACAGTGAGTCATATTGTATCCTTTCAGGGCTGCCATAAACGCCATGCTAATCCCCATTTTCCCTGAAGTCGGCTCTGTCAACGGTATTGTACACACACGATGACTGTGTTGTTTGCAGTATGCATTTACCAATTCATTATCGAAAAAATACTACGTCATTGCATTTCATAACACGATGAATTTGCGCTGGGTATTATTCGCTGATGTATCTTGGCAGGCCTCCCTTGGTCATGATCCTTGATGCAGAAAAGGATCATAGCCAAAAGGAGCTTTTCCTATGAGCTGGGATAGGATCGCATTAAGCCTCGAAGTCTACTGGCGGTGCGACATCCATTTGATCATAGGTTTTCTCATTTTAATTTACAAGCCGCTCAGATCCAGGAAGCCGAAGAAAGACATGGTTAGTATTCTCCTGAAATTGGGTTTGGTTGAGTCACTCATGCTGGCTAAAAGTAAGCATCTTCTTGAAGGGTTTTTTCCTCGGACGTTCTGATGGATGCTGCTCTCTTTCCACTTGCAAACAGCTTGCTGCGACATCATTTCTTTGTCATGCTTCCTATTTCCTAGAAACTCTTGCAAGAGAATTGTCATTTTCACCTAAATAGGAGCCACCTAATCATCAACTGTGCCTGATAAAGCCCCAAAACCATACCATATCTTGATGTAATGATAATGAGACAGACAAGGTAAGAGTTTGATATGCTTGCCAATAACAGAAGAAAGAAATCAGCAAAACAGAAACTAGAACAAATAAAAAGAAGGCACTTCTCTTCTTCATCTAGTCAACAATTCAACTGACCAAAATTGTAGTAGTGCATGATCCACTTAACATCAAATTATTCATGGACAAAGTCTTAGTTTCCTTCACTTGTGACTAAATTGCTTATGCTGGATTCGAAGGGATAACAAAACTGTCCCAGAAATGTGACTTGTTTCTCCATTACTAAAAAAGCCACACGCTCAATCCAAAAGTTTTGATCACAATCATCTTGCCCTTTACCTGTAAGATATGAATTCAACAATTGAGAAAATTTCAATGAGAATATACCTTTCAAATACTACTATGGAAGAAACTCAAGCCATATCCTACGAACAATTGGACAATCCCTTAAAACATATACTATTATTATCACAAAAGACTCACATCTCAAGCAATATAAGCTTCCCCCACATTGTGACACGTCTTCAATTCAGCAGTCAATAGTTGGGGAAATTATCAAAAAAGTCCTAAACTTATTGCATTTGTGTCAATTCAATCTTAAACCTTTCAATTATGCCAATTCAGTCCTAAACCTTTTGACGATTTTCCAATTGAGTCATATGTCTTTTAATTATGCCAATTTAGTCCTAAAACTCTTAACGATTTGACAATTTAGTCATTCCAACAAATTTTAGCTGGAAAGCACTAACATGGGGGTCCAGTCAGCGTCAGTTGTCCTATGTAGGATGGTCGGCGTTGACATGGACAATTTTTGCAATTTGAGATTTTTTTTGAATTTTTTTCTTTTTTTATTTTCCGTTTTTTCTAACTCTTGGGCAGAGAGGGCTTGACACCTTTGTTAAGTCTGAGCGAGGGCATCGCGGTCCTCGCCTGGTTTGGGTGAGGCATCACTACCCTTGCCCAATCCAGGCAAGAGTCGGCTTAGCAACCTCCGTGCCCTCGCTGGCTAAGAGTTGGAAAAAGAAAATGAGAAAGAAGAAAGGAAAGAAGAAAAAATAATAAAAAATTTAGAAATTTTTTTAAAAAATTATCAACGTCAGCATCAGCCACTCCACGTAGGATGCCTGGCATTGACTAAAGCCACATCAGTGTTTTCCGGTTAAATTTGGTCAAAAGAACTAAATTGGCAAATCGTCAAAAAATTTAGAACTAAATTGTTAAATCGTTACTACGATTTATGACTAAATTGGCACAATTGAAAGGTTTAGAACTGAATTGGCAAATTGTCAGTTGGTTTTAAGACTAAATTGGCCAAATCAAGAGGTTTTTGACTGAATTGATATAAGTACAATTAGTTTAAAACTTTTTTTTTTTTGGTAATTTTCTCTTCAATAGTTGCTTGTGAGTGGCTAGCCTAAGAAAAGTTCTAACACGTGGAGGTCCCTTTCTTGAACCATATATCATCTGATTCTCGATTATCCACCCCATTGGTTAATTTGTGCGTTGACTTAATAGATAACTACCCGCTTCCAATACCCTCCCACAAAAGACTATATTTTTCATCGGAGGCCAAAGGAGGTTCGACAGCCAGAATTTGAAAGATTATATCTTATGATAAAATGCTCCGGAACACTTGAAAGTTCCAATCTCCATGCAGCACATAATCACAAACCATTCTGTCAATCTCAAATGGAGATGGTCAAGTATCAACAACATTACAGAGCGGCTTTATACCTGAAATCCATCTATCCATCCAAAATCTTACGTGTTTGCCATTTCCCAAATACCACAAAGCTCTTTCCTATAAGGCCGCCCATAAATTTCCAATCTTATTCCATAAGATCGAGCCACCGGGTCGCATGCTGTAAAAATCTCATGCATCTAACTTTATTTAATCGATTGGAAAATTGTCAAAACTACACGCACCCAGTAACACCATTTCTCCGATGATAACGGGACTAAGAAATTTATAATTGGATTGGTGAGTAATGCCCGATTAGTATCCAATTGACCCGGCTAATCCCATGCGATTTTTTTAATGTTATTATGGCAAAGAATTTCACGCTAAGGTGCCTATCTCCCCTCGCACGCAAGCCCAAAGAAAACGGCTTTTTACCGGATCGTCTCCGGTGCAACTCCACTGAACCCAAGCACGCAATCCCGCGTTACGGGACAAGCGAGACCGGCCCAGCCGGTAGCTTCTGTTACTCCCATTTCGTTTTAGCTGATAAGATTCCCACGTATATTTTCTACTGAGTTTTATCTTCTTCTTTTTTAATTCCTTGACAAGCAATTAACTGTGATTTTGTTATCCGACCAAAAAAAAAACTGTGATTTTGTTCATAATGATGTTCCTTTATTCCACCTTTAATTTCATTGACTAGCTTGGCTGAAAGTATTGCTAACCGACGATTCACTATTAATGGGGTTCAGAATAAATCTATTTGAATAGATTAATTGGTTCATAAAATTCAACACAATTTGTAAATAAGTTCACAAACTATAAGTAAAATGTTTGATTTTATATATCATATAAACATGTATTTTTTTTATATATTTACACACAAGAATTCATTTTTTAACGGATTAAGCACGGGATTTTCTTTAATTCTTTTGATTGACATATTATGTTCGGATCCCGAAATCGCGACACCCGTTGACACGGCACGATATAGCTATGATACTATAATCGGGCCTTACCTAACTATTATACGGACTATTTCTAGCTTGACCTATAGCGTTTTTCAGTAAAAAAAAGTCTTTGTAATTTAGTTTTAAAAAAAAATTGTATACATAGGATAAGTACATATCAGTCTTTAAGATCGTGGTCATCAAAATCAATCAGACTCCATAACAGTCCATTTTGGTCAATAACCCCCAACGTTTTACAAAACGGTTCAAACGAGTGCCGAACTTGCCTTCAATACATTTTCGACGCCGAAAAAACGTACGGGCTCTTGAGCCCATGGCCACGTGTCATTTCAAAAAGTCAAGTGGGAGACGCATACCCTGGTGGCAAGCTCGGGACTTGATCGCGCATTTTTAAAAGCATTATTTGCATGCATAACTTTCGTATTTTTTTGGCAAAAATTATGCAAATAATCCATAAATTTTGGCTTAATTTGTAATTTAACCCTTAAATTTTTAATTTATTTGATATGATCACTAAACTTTAGCTTAATACGTAATGTAGCAGTTAAATTTTTTATTTGTTCAATGTGGTTCTTGGACTTTTAGTACATGTTCAATTTAGTCCTCCGACTATATAAAAATATTCAATGTTGTCCCCAACATTGAATATTTTCATATAGTTCAGGGACTATATTAAATATATATCAAAAGTTTAAGGACCGCATTAAACAAATCAAAGTTAATGGATAATATTACACATCGAGCTAAAGTTCAGGGACCACATATCATACTAAATTAAAGTTTAGGGATCACAATACATATCAAATTAAAATTCAGAGACCATTTGTATCTTTTTTTTCCTTCTATTTTTTTTTGGTCAAGAAGCGAGAGAGCGCAAATCAGTAGGCAAAATGCTATCACTTTTGTCCAAAATGCATAATAATAAAAGGACAGATTTCATCATAGACACCCTTTACCGGACCAGCCCGTTTCCCCCCCCTTTTTTTTTTGGGTAAAACGTGACCAGAAAAATCTGGCATATAAAACGTGGCTCGTCTGGTTGGGCCATTCTCTCTCTCTACACTTCTCGAGACGGTTTTCTTACCATCTATCTTCGTCGCTGCTGAGATTCTAACTCGCTTGGGCCAATCTCCGATCCTCTCGATCTCCCCATCCGATCGCTCGCTCGCTGCGCGCCTGTAAGAATCCCGTGCTCGTGATCTTCGCTCTCTACCTGCAGTCCATCGGTGGCTGTGGCTCCGTCGCCTTTCGTCGTCGTCGTCGTCGTCGTCGTTAGCTGATCCGTTGGCGACCTGATTTGACGATCGAGTTTTCGGTTGCTGTCGAGATGAGATTTGAGATGTGCTAGGCATCGGCGTGAGGTGTTCGCTTGTGGTTTGGGGTGGGTGGGTGCGTGCGTGCGTGCGTGCGTCCGGCGTGGGTTTTCGATTGGGTGGTTTTTGGGAGCTGGTCATCGACAAGTTTTGGGTTGAATTCTGCTTCGTTCGATGTTGACTCTGGGTCTAGTTTGATTCTGTTGGCCTCTTTCTTGAGCCTGGGATTGAACCTGAGCTGCTGTTTCGGTTCTATGCGTGTATGATGAAGTGTGGACTTTGGTTCTTCTGGACCTAGCTGGCATTTTTTAAAGCAGTTATTTTTCCTTTTGGACTTAGTAGTCGGCCAGCGCAGAAGCTCGGAGGAAAGATGGTTGGTGGGATTGGTGGTGTACGTGTTGTGTTGATTGCCGATTGATTGGTTCGGCAGCACCCTTTTGCTTTTGGGAAACAAGATTAGACACATAGAAGGAGAAAAAATTAAGATGGGAGTAGTTGTTGAACGAGGAGATTGGGGATCATTCTCTGTTATTCCTGCTGCAGATTTTAGCCTCTGAAGCTCCAAGCCGATATTTTTCTACTTGGGATTTAGAGATAGCTGAATTACCTTGTTTTGAAATAATAGAAATTCCTCTTAGTTTGTTATATGAAAAGTTCATGCTTTCCGCTTGTTTTTGTTTGGTTCTTGCTTCTTTGAAGAAATTCCTTTTAGTTGATATTGAACTCATGCTTTCTAGTTGATTTCACGGTCCCTGTTTCCTGCAAAGTATTACATGCTTTGGCATTACTTCCTGGCATGGAACTTTGGCACTTTTTTTTTAATGTAAAATGGATTGTATCGTTTAAGTAGAAGGGGTGGAATTCTACTGAATTCTTCTCTCCTTGGCCTCATACTAATGCAAGCTTCCACCTCTTGGCAAACCCTGTATTTTAAAAATTTTCAGTGTGTCAACATAAATCCACTTAAGATTTTGACAGTGAGCTCAGGTAAGTGAGTTTATACCGTATTAATATGGTGCATCAACTCTTGCTGAAGCAACTGCCAAATCTTACTCTTACTGGGTTGCTCCTTACGAGACGTTGGTGTCTCTTTCAATACAGTATAACTGCTTTTGCCATCACGGATGAATTGTCCTGTTGCATTTTCTGCTAAGGTTTTTGCAATGATGAGTTCCTAAATTCACCAACTGACGATCGCTGGTTTTTGTCAATAGACATCTTATGTTGCATTTAAGGGGCCATATAATTTTTTTCTCTTCTGTTCTATATTATAATATTTTCTTGGTGATTTTTGTTCACAAGGACGAGCCGAACAATGGCAGATAAAGACGAGGGAGAGGAAACTGTTACTCGCAGAAATGAATGGGAAGTTGTCTCACTTACAGCGTCAGCATATACGGCTGCTCCTGGTCCAGATGTTGAACTGAAAACTGATGACAAGGGTAATGCATATGATGTTGATGATGCAGAAATATCTCGTGCTTTGTTCATGTCCGGTCACTTTGTCTTTCCACCCAGCCAACATGAAAATCTTCCATTGGCGCCTGAGAAAGATCAACCTGAAGAAGAAAAACAACAAGATGATGTTGCTGAACTGGAAACAGAAGGGGGAATTTCTAGCGGAAAGGACCAGAAAGATACGAGTTTCAGGACTACACATGATGAGTTTCCTGGAGTAGAGTGTTTGGATGAGACAGGTGGCAGACAGTTTGTTCATGATAAGGAGTTTGAGGAAGGCATGAGTCTGCAAGGGCTAGATATGCCGTATGCTGATGCTACTTTAAGTTCTTTTCACGGTGAAGCTGCTCTTGGTGGCCTTAATCCAAGTACATATGTTGACAACACAAGCACTGAGTTAACCGAACATGAACATGTCTTAGAATCCGCCGAGGAGTTATCGAGGTCATCTAAATCCACCAAAGATCACGATTATTATGAGACTGACCTTCCTTGTGGAGCTTGGTGGAAGAAACGTGCGGTTTCATTTTATACACATGCGAAGGAGGCAAATACTTTTTGGTCTATTTTTGTTGCTGCAGCTGTGACGGGTCTTGTAATTCTTGGGCAGAGGTGGCAGCAAGAAAGATGGCAAGTTCTTCAACTTAAATGGCAGATGGCCATCAATGATGAGGTATGCCTTTTGCTCTCATGATTTGTTGGTAAAGGGAGACACAACCAGTTGGACTCTGGGCCATGCTTGCTGATAGTGCACACACTCCTTTTCAATTCTGAAGTGCAAGATTATAGCTTTCATTGACAGACATTTCATTTCTCCATGCAAACAGCTAATGATTTGTTTTATGTGTTAGTTGTCCTAGCGAACAAGAAGCACTAAATGCTATTTTTTTCGGAGGAGCTTTAGAGTGCAAGATAAGAGATTTTCATTGGAAAATAAGTTATTTGTGTCTGATGGGAAGCAATCATAAGATTTGTCCGATTACTTTTCTTGTTTGAACAGTGAGATATCAATATGCTACTGCATCATCTGCCTTGGACCTAAAAAACTGCTTCAACTGGGGGCATTGTTGAGTGACTCTGCCATAGTGTCATTTTATTGTAATTCCAGGTCATCCTATCTTAGGACGATAATGTGTTGGTTTCTTGGACATTGGTCCATTCTGTGTGAGTCGAGGCCTTTATGTAGAGGGCATAATAAGTGTTAAAATACTTTAGGATGGGATCATCATTATTAAATATTATCTGGCTTAAGTGGTAGGATTGAAGAAGTGCCTCTAGGTAACTGGCTGGGTCGGTGGTACAATGTGGGAACCATCTACTATTGGATTTGTTCTGTTTTAACTTTTACCCAGTATGAAGTTGTTGGTGTTCCTTTTAAGTGTAATTATCTGGAGTTAAGGATGAGAGAGTGACTCGTCTGGCATCCTTGTATGAAGTTGAGATAGGTGTAATCTTCCAAGTTACTGCTTTGGGTTTTGGCTTATGTTATTGAATGAAAACGATTCTAAAATTCGGTCGAATCACTATTGTATTTTTCTTTGCTGAATGATACTGTATCTTAGATCTGCTTGCACGCTGTTTTCTAAGCTTCTTCATACTGGTGCTGTAACTGATTATTTGTCGAAACTTCTTTCTGGCAGAAGATGGGCCGTCTGCTGGGTCCCATATATCGCATGAAAGATGTGATAGTGGGCGGCCACCGACGTGGCTCCTTTATTAGGGGCAGTTCCTCGAGTGAGAACTAAGATGATGGCGAAAAATATCGAGGGAGAGTGAGTGAGAGATTTTAGTATGTTGTTGTATTCTGCTGCGGCTGTTATACCAATGACCGAGTTACACATGTGCTATTTAATTTATATTGTGGTGACAGGTGACAATTTTATGGTAGTGTAAATCCATTGTACAGTGATATGCCTGGCAATAGTTGGTTCTGCCCAAACTGGACATCATGTGTTATAGGGAAAGTTTCTGTGACATGACCGCTTTAGTAGTTTGCCTGCTTGCTTGGTGAAAAAAGAAAGCATGCTGTGTCACACTCACTGTACGTGGATTTGTGTCGATGGGATTCTCTATGGCACAAGCACAACATTCTACCATACCACGTTTTGGCTTTTTGTCATGACTAACCATGAAAACATCGTAAAAGTGTGATATTTTGAAACGTCAATCAAGTGCAAAAGTGTCAAAAGTTGCACGACATGGCATCGTACCACGAAGAACCTCTAGTGTGGATCACCACTCGTTTCGAGGCTTTTATGTCATAAGAAATGTTATATTTGGTTGTTTCATCTCTGTGCAATCCTTCCATATGTTTTTCGTTGTGTCTTACCTTAAAAGGGCGTCACAGGTTCGGATCCACAAGGCTCTCACGTTATGGGGTCCCTAGGACTCTGTATGCCGCCTCTGCTTTTGCATAGAGGCAATTTGAGCGACTCAAACCCGTGATCTGTAAAATCCCAAAACCTTAGTGTATCACTAAGGCTCATGTATGCTCTGCGACTTGTCTACATTAAATTATTAGCTCAAACGAGTTCCACTTAATAAAACTGATCTCAGACGAACGTGGGCATTTCGGCCGGTGTTTTGTTGGTTGGTTCACAGTGCCATGGCGTGCAAGCAACCTCTTGCACGCGAGACAAAGCAGCAATGGTGGGTGTTGGTTCTGTTTCTGTATGTTGGCAACCTAAGCTGATTCGGTATCTTACTATTGGTTTGAATTTGGGACTTAAAGCGCTATTATTTCCGCAACAGGCCATCGAGTCACAATACTGTTGTATATCAGCTGCAAATGAGGAAGCTTTTGACTCTCTTCCCACGGATTCTGCAGGTGGCAAGATTTGCCAAGACATGGTGCCCCAAGGAGAAAAAAAACGGGGGGCTCGGAGTTCAGATACGGCGAACCCACCAATGGACACGCTACGCTCACTTGGAAGATTACCCTGAATTCAGAAGCCACGGTTTCGTAGTGGTAGTTGAACCATTCAGTGCATTGCCTTCTTTTTCATAGCCATCTTCTATCTCCTCATCAAGTCTTTCATTAAGTCATTGAGTCGGTGACTACACCCTCATAAGTCGACAACCTAAGATGGAAAAAGCAAGGGTGCTTCTTCTAGAAACCAAGAACAGCTTGAGAAAGCTTGAACCAGCTCAAATCTTCGAAAACGTTGTCGCTTTTGTACGCTGTAAGCTCTTGAGCAATATCCGATGCATCGAACAGCTAGTCCTGTCTCCGCGATCACTTTGCATATCGAGAATTGCCCTTGTTTAAAATGCGCACTGCTAGCGAATCAAATCGGATGTACATTTCGCTACATTTAGCACCATCTTTAAATTATTTTTCTAATGGGCAAGGAGTTGATGATGCGGATAAACCCCACCTCCTATTCCTAGTTGATTCAACATAAACGAGTAAGCTAAAGAAATCCAGGTTAGTCCCGGCAACTTTTGGATGACGTATTATATGGTACCATAACTCTATTCACATCATATACTCATGAGAAGATCACCTTGGTATCTGCAAATTGAGAAAAGAAAAAGACCCTGGCTTATTGAGTGACCCACTGCGATGTGAGGAATGATGGACAGCAAGAAATCTCACCAATCGGGAAATTCTTTCTTCTGCGGACACTTTTCGTGTGTGTCTTGAGAGGAATTGGGTCACGATCAAGAATGAGTGACAACCTAGAACGTTGCCATTTGTTTGGTGGAAGAAGAATTCCGTAGAGCGTTGGTACTCAGAATATAAATTTGCATCGCATAGCATAGGTGTTCGCACTTTCTTGGAGTGATGATCAACCCCCATTGGACGCTGTGTTCAGCGACTTGAGATGGTCCCTTCTCTTGGCCTCTTCGTCTTCCTATTGATATCATGGAAATTGGTACCGAATTAAGGAAAATTATCCTAAAAGTCCTAAACCTATTACATTTTTATCAATTCAGTTATAAACCTTTCAATTTTACTAATTGAGTCTGAAATATTTTCACGTGCTATCAATTGAGTTCATCCGGCCAATTTCAATTAGAAAGTTCTAATATAAAACATCCAGCATCCACGTTATGTTCAACGACTCTAGATGGTTCCTTCTCTTGGCCTCTTCGTGTTCCTGTTGATATCATGGAAATTGGCACCGAATTGAGATGATATGGTGTGATTTAAATGTTGCGAGAGAGAGAGAGAGAGAGAGAGAGAGAGAGAGAGGGGTCAGCGGCAAATGGGTGCATTGAAAGCGACTCGTGTGAGTTTGAGCACAAACATGACCCTCATAAAATCTCATATCCCACACAAGTCAACGCCTATTTTCCCTTTGTCATAAATACCAAATTTTTTAAAAATCCAAACACAGCCATGAAAATAAATAATAAAAAAGAACGGAAGAGAGAGATCATACATTCGTAGTAATGGCCGCATATGATTTTCTTTTTATGAGTCGGGTTAACGAGTACTTTAAAATACCCACAAGTATGCTAAACAATATGAGAAAAATAATAGGAAATTTTGGCTCTCCATTTTTGTAACTAAAATTAATTCTCGAGAACTTGCGCAAACTTATTTTTTCTTTAAGAAGTTCTTGTGACGTTGATCGCATATAAAAAAAAAAACAGCGAGACCCACGTTAGTTTCTTAAAAGAACGCAAATTCTTGTGTGATTCTACGCTAATTGACTTTATATCCACCATATATATTGTCGGTACGACGAATGTATCTGATTTCTTTCTTTCTTTCTTTTCATTTTCTTGTTCAGACAATGTAATGCGGAGCTGCCAACCAAAGGGAACTAATTGCAATGTCCGTTGGTTGTAGAGGGCGGTGGCATGGTTGTAGCAAACAATTATTCACGCTCTTGCATGTAAGATAATTAGATAGATTTAGCTGCCCTAACACACCATTATGCTTCTCCTCACAAGTCACAAGCTAGCTGCACCACCCAAGCCTCTCTGCTGATCAAATCTCCCTCTATTCTATTGCCTCAAGTACAACATCTACACAGTGTTTTCCGAGTTATTATTCCGTACCACGCACGGAATATCGTCACCTGGTACCGACACTTTCGGGGTGAAGTTCGGATTGTATCAAAACTCGAAAATTGGATGCACAGAAAGGGAAAGGTCTCAATAACACTTTATGTGAGCTTGATGATGTTAACGATAGTGATGATCTTCTTCGGTAGATTTGATGATTAGAGCTCGCTTAGCATGTCCAAATTTTCTTTCCAAAAGTTCACATCACACAGAAAGCGAAGAAAGAACAAAATGAAAAGAAGGGCCAGGCATGGATTAGATGATCGGAATAAAAAAAAGTTTGACAGTGTCAATGAAGCGAAACTGTTACTTTCAGGTGGCACCCCCTGCAAGTTTGACCTCAAGATCTCCAATGTTTTGCCCTCTGCGCCTGGCGTTCGTGGTAACAGATGAAAGACATTAAATTTCATGCAAAGGTCAAACAAAACCGTGTGATGACGACGATGAAAGAACACAATCCTCAGGCTCAGAGCTCTGTTTCTTCTTTTCACCTGTTTTTTTTTTTTCCTTCCTTGTTTTATTATATAGATTGCAAGGTGGGAGAAAGAACAGGCCCAGTGGTGGATAAAGATGAAAAGAGAGGACAAAAATAATTCGAAAAGAATATCACTTCACCACAAAGTAAACCCTATAAATTGTTGGTAGTTCGCTCACCGACCCCTAACCAAAGCCCACATGAACAACCCATTTTCATTTAAGACAAATTGCATGGCTCTACACATAAGAATCTTCAAAATGTCATCCCCCGAAATAATCTCTGGTTTCTTTTCTTTTGAATAGAAAAGAGAGAGAGAGAGGGAGAGATCTTGAAGATTGAAAGCATAAACACTTCCAGCCTAAACCGTGTGACCCCCATTCTTTTTTGCCTCCTCTTTATCTCATCACACGGAGTCTCCTTGGTGTTTCTTTTCGTTTGATCTGTCCCCGCTTCCTCAACTAATCTCATTAAAGTTCCTCTTCATTCAATGCTCCACAATTTATGACCCTCTCGCTTTTTCTGCAGAATTAGGTGTCACTTGCATGTGTGTGTGTGTGATCTCTCAGACTCTTAGAGAGAGAGAGAGAGAGAGAGAGAGAGAGAGAGAGAGATGCATGACATGGGGTTCTCGCAAGAGCGGCTTATATTATACTACGGATGATTGAGTTAGAGTTGGAGAAGAGAAGAGGCCCAGCTAGGGTTTTTAAGAGCTTCTCAACGACCTCCCAGTGCATTTAAGACACGCCATTACGATTATGGTGTGAGTCTCCTCATTATATAAGTCAGACCAGAGTGATTCACAGCATGTGAGAGAGAGAGAGAGAGAGAGAGAGAGAGGCATGATACATTTCAAGCAACAGTCTGTCCACCATTATTGCTCTTCTTTATCTCTTCACCTATAAATTGTCTTGCTCTCTCTTTCTCTTTACTAACTGTACGTATCACACTCTCTCACTCACTCACTCACTCACATACCCTCTCTCATTATATCCATCTCTGCATCTTCTTCTCCATCTCCCATTTTCTTTTGTTTTGCTTTTCTTGCTTTTCAGACACACACAGTCAATTGCACCATACATGTAACTAGGGTCTGAAAGTTTTCCCTAGAAAACTTGGGATTCGTTCTCCCGGAAAGTAGCTAGCATTTTTTCCGGGGAAGAAAAGTAAAAAGAGAGTTTTTGCTACAGAAGAAGGAAACCAGAGAGGGGGGCAGAGGGAAAAAGGACAGGAAATGGACGTAGCGACAGCTCTACTGGTATTAACGGCAATAACGGCCTACCTGATCTGGTTCACGTTCATCTCACGGTCCCTGAAGGGCCCACGTGTCTGGCCCCTATTGGGCAGCCTGCCGGGCCTGATCGAGAACTGCGACCGCATGCACGACTGGATCGTCGACAACCTCCGGGCGTGCGGCGGCACGTACCAGACGTGCATCTGCGCGGTGCCGTTCCTGGCCCGGAGGCAGGGCCTCGTCACCGTAACCTGCGACCCGAAGAACCTCGAGCACATCCTCAAGGCCCGCTTCGACAACTACCCGAAGGGCCCGACGTGGCAGGCCGTGTTCCACGACCTCCTCGGCGAGGGAATCTTCAACTCCGACGGCGACACGTGGCTGTTCCAGAGGAAGACCGCCGCGCTGGAGTTCACCACCCGGACGCTGCGCCAGGCCATGGCCCGGTGGCTCAACCGGGTCATCAAGCTGCGGTTCTGCCCCATCCTGAAGTCGGCCGAGCTGGGCGCCGAGCCGGTCGATCTGCAGGACTTGCTGCTCCGGCTCACGTTCGACAACATATGTGGCCTGGCTTTCGGGAAGGACCCGGGGACCTGCGCGCCGGGGCTCCCCGAGAACGGCTTCGCCTCAGCCTTCGACCGGGCCACGGAAGCCTCGCTCCAGCGGTTCATATTGCCCGAGGTGATGTGGAGGTTCAAGAAGTGGCTCCGGCTAGGGATGGAGGTCGGCTTGAGCCGCAGCCTCATGAACATTGATGAGTACTTGTCCAAAGTGATCGCCGCCCGAAAGCTCGAGCTGCTGAGCCAGCAGCAGAAGAAGGATGAGCACCCCCATGACGACCTGCTCTCCAGGTTCATGAAGAAAAAGGAGTCCTACTCGGATACGTTCCTCCAGCACGTGGCGCTGAACTTCATCCTGGCCGGGCGCGACACGTCATCGGTGGCGCTGAGCTGGTTCTTCTGGCTGGTCATCCAAAATCCATCCGTGGAGGACAAAATTGTTCGCGAAATATGCAAGGTCCTGACCGAGTCGCGCGGCGATGACGTGGCAAGGTGGGTCGACGAGCCGCTGGGGTTCGAGGAGGTGGACAAGCTGGTGTACCTGAAGGCGGCCCTATCGGAGACACTACGGCTCTACCCCTCGGTTCCCGAGGACTCGAAGCACGTGGTGGCGGACGACGTGTTGCCCGACGGGACTTTCGTGCCAGCTGGATCATCGGTCACGTATTCAATATACTCAGCAGGGAGGATGAGGACGACGTGGGGGGAGGATTGCTTGGAGTTCCGGCCTGAGAGGTGGCTGTCGCCGGACGGCCAGAAGTTCGTCATGCAGGATGCATTTAAGTTTGTGGCATTCAATGCAGGGCCCAGGATTTGCCTAGGGAAGGACTTGGCTTATCTGCAGATGAAGTCGATTGCGGCAGCAGTCTTGCTGAGGCACAAGCTGAGGGTGGCTTCTGGGCATAGAGTGGTGCAGAAGATGTCATTGACACTGTTCATGAAGTACGGGCTCAAAGTGGACGTGCTCAGGAGGGACTTGGTGCCAATTTTGGAGAGCATCAGGAGAGAGAGGAACGAGGAAGTGGGCATCAAATTGAATGGTGAGTGTAATGGTGGTGGCGACATGGTAGCTGGGTTTGCTTAAGAAGGGGGGGTGTTAATTGAGTTACTTTGAATCTTTAGTTGTGGGAATGGGCAGATTTCATTAATTGGCTGGTACAGAGAGAGCTTTCGCAATTTGATCCCAAGGGAAGAAAAAACCTCCTCTCATTTGGTTTCTTGATCTCGATCTGATTGATTTCGCCACCAGGAAAATAATGGTGTTTTTTGTGTTTAAAAAGATACGATTTGGTTTGGTTTTGGTCTAGGAAGGGGTTGATCCTTGATGAACACAGAGAGAGAGAGAGAGAGAGAGAGAGAGAGAGAGAGAGAGAGAGAGAGAGAGAGAGAGAGAGAGAGAGAGAGAGAGTGGCATTCATTCCTCAGCAGTCCCTTGATTGCTTGGCTGCACCCTAGAGAATGCCTTGAATTCATTCTTTTTTTCCTCCTCGTGTGCTTACAATGTTTGAGTTTTCGTTCAATTTATTGTTTATTGGCTTCTGATTCGGTCTTTTCGTTGGAAGTAATGCTGTTCGCTGAAAGAGCCTTCGTGTTCTCAGTAAAAAATAAAAACTCTTCTTTGCCTTCAAGAGTTTCTCAGTTTTGTATTTTGTGCGCGGAATTTATGATGTACTTGTCCAAATTGAAGATACAGAACTTGGAACAACTCAAATCCTATTATCTATTCAAACTCAAACTACAACTTGAAGCCACTTTTCTGTTTTCTCCTAACCTTCATGGGATGATCCAACTCAGGTATTTGGCTCGTAGGGAAGTCATGACACGTTGACCATTTGAACTAATTCTCAAGCAGGTACCAGCCCTAAGAATACCTATCAACCCATACAAGTGTCTACATATGTATATACATCGATAAATATACACGTGTATTGAACATAAAATAAACTGGACATGAGTAATACAGAGTTAGATGCATCTGTGGAGGCAAATTTATCAGACTTCCCTGGAAAATGATTTTTGAGTCCCTGATAAATGAGGTGCACTGTACGGGTCAACCGAAGTGTTTGGGGTGGTTTAAATTCACCCTGACACTGTATAAACCTTAAGTTTCCCGTATACAATTAAAGAACCTGCGGAAAGAATTTGCTCGGAGCTGACAAAGTCGTCAGGATCCTGTCGCATCTGAGGGTCTCAAATTGGTGAGATGAACTGTGAATCGGTATCCATATGTAACCGCGCTTTATAAGGTCTTGCCCCTGCCTGAGTTTTGAGTAGCTCGTTTCACTATTTTCCTTATACTCGTGTAGCTCGCTAACTCGATGCCTTTAAGTTATTTGAGCAGCATTTTTTTTTTCCCCTGATGGTCATTTCTCAGTCAAGAATTTTCTCTCCAGTTGAAAATAAGTTCCATACTAATGTGCCAATGAGGTATAGTGCAACAGCCACCTTAAACACATCATCCCAAGAACCTGCAAAACAGCGAAGTTGATCAAGAGCCTGAACTGAAAGGAAACAATGGTACCATCATCAAACAGAACTAATTATGCATGAGGTCATGCTATACCTCGTTGAAGTATGTATCCTGTTGCGGCTGTACCAAAAACCCCAGCAAGCACTCCTGCGGTATTTGAGAGTCCTAGCAGTACTCCCTGCAATAGACACATATAAACTTTGACAAGTTTTGGAAGAAAAGTATGCTGGGAGAATAGGTGCATAGAAGCTAAAAATTAAAAGGTTTGTAACAAAGAGGCGAAAGGAGATTCTATAACCTAAGGGGAAACTTAAGTCGATTGTTTGCATTGATTTTGCAATTAAAGTGGATTTTTTTTTTTCAAAATTGAAACATAAGGAGCAATAACTCACAGCATAGCGCGGCCCAATGTCTTGGTGATTGGAATAGAGACCAGACTGCGAGAATGCATCAGATCCCTGTCATACGGAGCATATAAACCAATGTTAATGCCAGATGTTGGGTTGTTCTGAACTTACAAATTTCATGGAAAGCCTACTCTGAAATGGCTGTTCTTTGTACAAAACTGTGGTTACACAGATTAAGAGATACAGTGTCCACTCTGGTCATTGAGCTCCATATTCCAATAGCAACTCCGGCATACAAGATGAAACACTACGCTCAGTTTTGGTATTTGCAATACTAAAAGACTCCCTTTGGCACTATAAAGTGTGATGGCAAGAGTACACATCAAGTGAACATATCATGTGGTTGGCCATATCAATCCTTTTAGGCCACTACTTCACATACATCAGTTAACTGGAAGATAATCTCATGGTTTCTTCACTCTCTAACTTTTCTCACTAACAGCTCAGTAAAGGGCTCGTGAGGATGCTTCCTCGGCTGTCTTTTCCTAGATAGTTTTCAGCAGCTTCCTCATTACAGCTAATATCTCAAATAGGAAGTACTTTTAAATCATGTAGTTGAGTGTATGCACTGTAGGTCTTTTTCCAGGATAAATATAGGCGCTTCTTCAGCAGTTCAATGATGATGCCAATATCTCTTCATTGGACTCTCATTTTTCATACGGTGTGTACAATCCAAAATTATGTAAACTCATACCTGACTGCATGCCATACACAACACTGCTAGAGCAGGTGTCTTCACGTGGCTCAGCTGTGTTAGAAAGAAGGCTGGGCCCAGAAACCCAATCGATTGCATGATCTGCGATATTAGAGGTTCAGTAAAAGGATTAGTTACTCTTCTGTAGAAAGCGTGTGTAAGTGACCGATGACATGCTGATTTCTTGACCTTGCTAGGAATTTGGCACTCTAATAGAAGGGGTGATACTTGATGCAATACGGTTCTATAAATAATCAATCCTATAGATCATATAAACTTAAACGCAAACCTCCTTCTTTCACCAAAAAGTAGATTGCAGCAATATTGTCCATATGTTTCACCGAACACGATATACATTTTGAAGACAACGCAGATATTAGTACTTGCCTTCCGGACATTGGTGATTGAGAAACCTTTGCTGACAAGTGTATCTGCAATCCATCCTCCTAAGTTTGCAAATATGGCCATTGTCAACCATGGCAAGACACAGAAGAGGCCAGATTCGGTGAGGTTGAACTTCAAAACCTGGAAAAGCATAACAGGTCATCATACTATCGTAAATGTGATAAAAGTACCACCGACTTTCATGATCTAAACAGAATATAGCGATTCAAATACCGTGAATCATTAAAATATGCAGTTAGTATAGGAAAATCTCAGAATTTGCTTGTAAAAATTTTAAATTATATAGTAGGAAGATGTAATAGAGGCAACAGGGAGGCTGGGTAATATGTAACTGTTCAAAGCCACGCCCTATATAAGCTTTGGTGTCGCAAGAGCAAGAGTATGCAGATCAGCCACAAAAGTCTACAATTAGATAATGATCAAAGCTAATAAAGAGTGTATGTTACAATTACAGGAGCTCAACTCGAATACCTGGTTGTAGTACGTGGGCATCCACGTTAGAAGAATGAAAGTTCCCCAATTATGGCAGAAGTGCGAGATTATTAGAGCCCAAACAGGCGCTTTTGATAAAATTAGTTTCCACGGAATGACAGATACAGGTTCCTTTGACATGCTGCCACTTAAGATTAGCCGTTTTTCATTTGCAGTGAGCCCTGGGTCCTCCTTGGGTGAATTATATGCCTGTAAACAAACCAACCAATGGGTGGAAAAGACAATGTTTAGTTTTCCATGCAGGACATCCAAGTAATAGATGCATTGAATCTATTCTCTAATCCCAACTGTAATCCCCATGCCAGAATCTTGCTTATAAGTCACCACTTTAATTAAACTTTTTTTTTTTCCTTTCACCTATTTTGGGTGAACGCTTACTAAAGTGGCAGGCAGATAGCTGGAACTAACGTTTTTTTATCAAAGCAAATATGATCTCATCAAACAAGCAACTGTATAAACTTCAATTCAACGGCACAAATTTTTTGACAGAAATCGAATAACGAAGTTATATTTTCTGCTTCCAAGAACCAATACTTGAAAATTTCTTCATTGAATGAACATTTATGTCCGTGCTACAATTAATGGATGGAAACTGACTCATACTTTTCTCAGCCACAGTGCAAACCATATGCTTCCGAGAGAGCCAAACGAGTAGAAAACAGATGGCCAGCCGAACTTGTGGATCAGGATGGGCGATAAGGCCAACCCTGCCACAGAACCAAGATACATGCCACTATAGACTAGAGCCAGTGATCTGCTTCTCTCTGAAACTGGAATCCACTTTGAAAGTATGTTGTTCATAGCAGGCATAGCTACACCCTGTATAGAAGAGCAACATAAGTGCAATGTCTGATGCTTTGATACCATCTGAGAGAAAAGGTTGATGGAACAATGTGGAAATTACAAACTAGGGGTTCGCCATGGTAATACAAATTATAGTTACTTATGTGAGACCACAGTAGGGAATATTATCGTCAAACAATCAAATGAAACAAAGAAAGAGAAAGGGCCAACCTCACCGATCCCCATAAAAGCACGCATAATTAGCAAAAAGGGAAGTCCGAGTTTTGCTGCAATAGGTGTCAAAACCGTTGCTACTGACCACCAAATAACTCCAAAACCCAACACCGACTTCCCTCCAATTTTATCAGCCCATATGCCTCCAACAATCTATGCACAGGAAACATAAGAAAAAGGCAGTTAGATGAGGACCATGCCATAAAACATCATCCATGCATTCATCAGGAAAAAGCACGACGATTAATCGTACGTATACGCATGTCTTGAAAAATTTTACATGACTTTATCTAGGAATTCATACCAGGCGTAAACAAATAATTGAACATTTACTTAGATTACTTGATGTTGATCCAGAAAAATTTCTACTTCAAGTCAAACCAGACTTTCAAAACAAAAAAGTCAAACCTGAGTAAGTAGATAGCCCCAGAAGAAAGAGGATTGAATTAACCCCACCGTTGCACTATTCCAACCAAACTCTTGTGACATTGGAAGTATGGCAATGCTCATGTTGACCTAAATGCACAGTGAAACAGGTTAGAATATGCTATAGCATATTAATAGGGACTGACTGAGCATGAGAGCTCTCTGAATCCTCAGTTCCCCTATGATAGAAATCTGGCTTGCCATAAGAAACCAACATACCAGAAATCTGATGGAAGGAACCTTTCCATGCATTCTAACAGATATAATATCCCAGGACTATACATAGTGAGGGAACTCTTATTCTACTAAAACTTCAGTTAAGGTTTTTCGTATATATTTGGAAAGTGGAACAGGAAAATTACATACCCTGTCCATGTTGCATAGTAGAAACGCCATGAAACAGAGCAGAACAATCACCCAGCGCTTTGGAAACTGCTCCCACCATGGCGATGTTTCTTGTGCACTTCCCTCAACCAAAAGAGCATCGCTCGCCCCTTCCGGGACAGTCAGCGCTTCCAACCTTGCTTCTGAAATTTCACACTCGTCTGACTTATAATGAGCACGAGTTCTATTGACCTTAACAAGCTCAGATTGCCTGACCGGTCCATTTTTTGTACCGAGAACCTGTGGTGCATGGAGTCTAGACCGGCTGACATGACAAGAACTCGGGGAAGTACAGCAGTAACATCTTCCTCTACTTCTATACTGAGCAAGAGTGCTGCAATTACTTTCGTCAGGCAAAGTACCTGCACTTCTGGAGATTCCTCCATCAAAGGGAACAGCAACACAGAGAGCACAACTTGAGTAATTGGATGTATATAAGTAGGTCCCGCGTGTGCACAAATTTGCATGGAAAATGCTCCCAGGAAACAGAGCCACCGATGTCACCGCACGACATCCTCCGTGAGGTGAAGTTCGTCTCTCTGCTTGCCATAACTTGCCTGCCAATGCCGACAGTAGTTAGCCTCAGAATGTAAAAGCTCAAAAACTTTCCCCGATATGCACAGCACTGAAACAAGAAAACCTTTTTCCATCGTCCTAAAGATGACAAGAGGATAAGCACATCAAAGTGACATTAACTGAATATCTTAGGAGCCCTGCAAACGATAAAATAGTCGCCATCGCGTCATATAAGAAGCCCCGGAATTAGAAGAAGCTAACCCTTTTCGTTAGCAACATTTCGAAATCCATCCCGAACTAATTAAATCGGTTTCGCTGGCCACCCCGGCATAAAAAAAAAAAACCCATTAAAGGAAACCTCTATTCAGACTCTTACAAAATGCTAACTTGGAATCTGCGCACCATGCAAAAATATTCAAGGCCGACTGGTCGTAAACGCGCAAATTCCATGGTCGTGCTTATTCCAAAGAATCTATCAAACTCCGCATTACTAAATTCCGTACTGGAAGTTCTTATCCACAGGACAGTCCACCAGCACCGAACGCGAAAGCGTCGGACTCCAATCGCATTCGACATTTCCAGCAGGCCAATTCACTTCAACACGACAGCCGCAACGCAACTAAAAAGAAAAGCGCGAGGGACCGCACGCGGAGCGAGTCCGAAGCTGCAACGACGTCTCCCCTCGAAACAACCTGCTCAGCTCCAAACCCGGAGCTCCCACTCACAAGGCTAGTAGCGAAGAAGAACCGCTCAAGCAAAACGCAGCCGCGCAAACCTGCCGAAGCAGAGTACCTGAGCCGACGGAAGCGCCGAAGTTGCGGTTGGAAATCAGAGCTCCGATGGCCATCGCTCCGGCGGAAGCTACCGAACTGGATCACTCCATCTCGACGAATGCGACGATGGAGGGAAGGAGAAGCGACTGCCCCTGCTGTGAGGTCGACGAGACTCGGGAGGATAAACAGAAGTGGAGACGAATTTTCCTCCTATTTTTTCCTTTTTCCCTTTTTTTTTAATTAACGGGGACGGAAATTTTAAAAAAATAATTAAAAATTCGTTATTTATTTAAATTTTTTTTTTTTTTTTTCGGTTTCGCTGCGAAGAGTCGTTTTCGGAAAAAGCGGGAGACGCCCGAGTGGCCTTCGTGGATCCACCGAGGAGAGGGGTCGAGGGCTCGACACGTGGCTGTTCATCCTCCTCGGAGTGCTCTCCCGTTCCCTGTTGTAGACGGCAGCCGTTACGGGACGACAAAAATAGGTGAATCGGGTCGGATTTTGATCGGAACGGAAATGATCCGCTTCGAATTGATCCATTTTTATTTAATGTAAACTCGGTAACTCATACCTAATATGATCCATATTTAATACATACCCGATCCGATATATATTTCTAAAGTAAATTTTATATTTAGCCAAATCGAGAAAGACGCATACCAAATTGAGGTGAGGGCACAGAGCAAGCGAGCGCGAGATTGAATGAGTGCGAAAAGGGAGTGAAGAGAGTCATAGAAATAAATTGAGTCTAAATAAGTATATTATTTTGAGCTTCATTGTTTAAACTCATTTATTGAATATAATTAAATCACACAACAATCTAGTTCATCAAATATGTACTAAGAAAGAGGTTTATGACCCGTTTTGACAGGCCTAACAGTAGGAAAGGGATGTCATAAGATAGGGGTATTTTTGGAATTTCATTCGAGCGAATCTAAGCCGCACCTCTGGCGGTAGGTTCTTCTCGATCTCAGCGCGAAAATCCTCCTCCCCACAAAAAAAATTAGAAAAAAAAAAAAACTGTACGGCTTCCTTCCTTCCACCGATGGCTCGGCTAACAGGGAGGGGCAGCCATTTAACGTAATGACCCGCAAATGGAAGCTAGACGTGCCCAAAAATGCACGCTTTTTATGAAAGTTTGTTTGAATCTAACGTGAGTTCGATGGTGGTGGTACTTCTGTATCGGTGAGAAGTACACTCGATCATGAATTGTTTTTTTTTTTTTGTTTTTTTAATTTCGTAATGGTGCGTGCTTGTTTAATTGGAATGTCCGAATTAACGAAGAAGTAAGGGAAAGAGTGAGAAGTAGAGAGCTTTTCGATCGACACCATCACGCCGATTGATGATATATATCGAACTGGTAAAGGCCACAACAACGTTTGGTGCGAAATTTAGCAATTTTTACTCGGATTGCTCCGAACACGTTCCCCAGGGAAACTACAAAAGAGGATCGACCATCCTTAGCATCGTACAGAGACTTGATCAAGCCATCGTTCCCTCTCAACAATGGGTGCTCATCCTTCCTTGTCAAGCTATAGTCCATTTAAACCCCAGAACATCCCCTACCACCTTCTGCACAGTAGTAGTTCGTGACCCTCGACCGACGATTCCCTTCGGCAACCGGTCAAGGAGATCTCTTACCGGAATGTTAAGGGAAAGCTTTTCCAAAAATGCATAGTACTTTAAGTTAAAAGGTTTCTCCAGAATGTAAATTTTGTTTATTAAATTGTAATTTAAAAGTTATTTATAAAGCAACTTTGGATAGAATATTGATTGGAAAAATCATCCTTCCAAAGGACTTTTCCTATTTTCCTATTTTTAAACCATTCGCCAGCTCAGGCGACCCAAATTTTGGCGCCAATGGCCATCATCTAAGGTCGCACGACCTTAGGCGGCCCTCCCAAGCAGCCCCTCGCGAAGGTTGCACAACCTCGCTGGCCCTTCGCAGCCACATTTAGCCTCACTGACCACCCTCACACAGAGAAGATGAACAGTTATAACGAGGGCACAATTGAAAAACGTAAAATTGGTGAGTGTAATCTTGAAAGAAAAAAACTACCTAATCCTAAGTATGACCTTCCGCAAATGCTGAAAGCTCGAGGCAGCAGGACTTGCCTCGAGCTTTTAGCTATGCCAAAGACAACGTTGGGCCGAAGGGATTGGAAATAAAAAGCCACGTGAGAAAGTAGTTGCCAAGCGGAGCCTTCGAAGGTTTCCAAAGGACGTACTACATTTTATAGCTATGGATGATTGTGGGTCACTTCATTCGCTGAGTTTTACTAGGAGGAAAAAAAATGAAAGTAAATACTGTCTTCTAATAGATGGATGTGCCATTACTTTCTTCTCTATTTACGAAAGCAATAGCATGTAGATCTCCCTTCGATTCAGATGTCCTCCTTTAGAATTACAGTATAGTTTTGCTTATAGGCTATTGATAAACTAAATTCTTTACAGTTCCGGGGTGGGTCCAACGTCCAAAATACAAACCTATCATCGCCGTCAAAGTGACTCCGAACTAAACATAAGGCCAAAAGACCAGTATGCAATTACATTAGGGTTTGATTAGTTCCTCATTGAGAGGGTTGAAGTTGGACGTGCGGGCACTGTCTCTCCGGCTCGCCTCTTGTCCACAAAGTTTGGAGATCGCCTCTCTGTTTTCCCAATGTCATAAAGGTGCCTGCAGCCACAACCACAGGAGAGTAAGTGGTGATAGCTCACGTACGGATTGCCAGTGAAAATTAAAATCTACTCCGAAACATCTTTCAGGCGAAACCCGATTACAAGCCTCGAAGACTCCCCGAAAACTCGTCTCTGGATACACGCACAACTACCCAACTGACACGGTATAGAGTTCATCAGATGGATCGTGCTCACCAAGTGTGAAGGGAACAATATAAAGCAAAGCAGGCTGCCCATGTCCATCCATCAAATTCAAAGCCACATAAGTGATGAGCAGTCCTGCATAAAGTCAAGAAATTGCGCATCAATGGCATTTATGGGGGAGCCAGAAAGAAGCATCAAGTGCAAACTGACAAGTCCCTCCGAAAAAAAGTGCAGATCTTGGAGAAATGGACTATTGCTGTTGCATTAAGACTGAAATTGGAATCGATGTCCGGGACTTCTCATACCTAGACCATAAGCGCTCATTGCCCACAAGAAGTATCCTTCTCGAATCTTCTTTTTTGCCAACATATCATACCTGCAGAAAAGGAGAAGGCAACACCAGATTCCATTTAATTAGAGTCAGAATCAGTAGAAGCTAGTTGGTTCACTTTAAAGCATGACTGTCAGAAAGATTGGAGAGACACAAGTGAGCAATTATTATAACGAAACAGGGCTTGCTTTAAACATACAGGAACTAGATGCAATATAATGCAAACTTCAGCTTATGAAGTTGATAATCAAACCTTAATGAAAACACCACTAGCAGACCGGGTAAGATGATATCTCCAAATCCAATGATGCTATAGCCACCCCAAGGATCAAAGAGTCGTGGAATTTTCAGTAGCATGGGGATCCCATCCTCTCCACTCTTATCGCCACGTGCAACCTGCACAGGAGGAAAAAGAAAAATCGATCCAGTTAACTGAATCGGGTCATCTCGTGAAGGGAGAAACTGAAATTGCAAAAGTTAACTCAGTTGAAGTAATGGAAGCGATGGCAGTTAGATTGGAATTAGACTGCGTCGAAAGAGAAATGGAAACATGTAAGAATTAAAGAGGGTTTCTCTTCAAGCTATTCAACCACTAAGGAAAATTGGTTTGTGCCGAAGGTTGGTCCACAGTGGTGAAGGAGTTGGAATCTGCTTGCGCGACAAGAAGACAGAACAATACGGAAGCTCATAATATGGCTTCGAATAACAAATTTCTGTGTCGCTCCACCTTAGGATATATGTATCTTATTTACTACTGGATACAGGAATTGATGAAAGTTAATTTCCATCAGCCCGAGGAGGAGGGGGAATTTACTTGTCATAGTCAAACTTGCTTCACGTGAAGTGAAGCTTAATTTTGTGATGAGCAGCTAGCCCAGACCATACTTGATTAACATGTCTTTTAGTGGATTTACGTTTAGCGAGAATCATGAGAAGAAAAAGAAATTTGCCAACTTGTATTTCAGAAAATTGCCCATTCCATCTCCCGGTTAAAATTGCTGGCCTGCCCTGAAGTTACCAATCCCATTAGCCTGAGCCAAGCATGTAAAGAAAACTCCCTCCAGCTAGAGATGTGATCTGATTAGCAGTTTTCTTGTAAAATAGGTTCATGTACTTCACTCGGTTTACAGCAATCTTAGCTTTCTCACAAGGGCTAAGGGAAAGCGATCTCAAACAAGTAAACAAGCTTCAGAAAGAGTTGCTTACCACTATCATCACGCTCTCATGGAACCACCATTTGGAAACAAATACCCAGAAGATGTCATACAAGAAAGCACAGCTGAGAAGCACTGTTCCAACCTGTTCAATAAAAGAGCAACAGATCACTTCAAAGCACATTCATCTGCATTTTCTTTGATGCATAAAAGCACGAATTTTTTATGAATCTTCATAGAAATCCTTCTATATTGACGGCAGAGCTTCCCGATGCTTGTCTGCCAACTTCAATGTAACACTTTTGTGCATCCTGTGATTACAGGAAAGGCCTTTCCTAGCAGAGGATATGAAATAAAAGGCAAATATATTCCAGATAGATTTAGAAGAAAAGGAAAATCTTAACAAAATTATCAGTGAACCTCTCAAATTATACGAAGTTCTGACTCTTATATACTCATCAACAATAGCTTCCAGTTTCGACCAAAAAAAAAAGAAAAAAACAATAGCTTCCAGTGATCACCTTGAGATTTGGTATGCGAACAATCTGAAGAACCGTGATTATCAAAGTAATTCCCTAATTCAGACAAGGAAAAGGAAACATTAGGCAGTCTCTTTAATCTGGAAACAAAATAATGTCTCTTTTAAAATATAAAAAACGAAGATAAAAGAAAAGGCAAAGCATTATATCTTACTGGATCAGAAGTAATAAAAATAAACAAGGCAAAAAGAAAAAAGCATAACGGCAATTAGATTACATCTCCACAAGAAAAATATATTAACAAGCAGCAATTGTAACAAAATCTTAATTCTTCAGGATTCAAATGACTGAAAGATTTGCCCATATAAACAAAAGCTGCCATAGGTCTCCTAAGAAAGACAGGGACAAGAACATACTATTATAATTGTCTAGCAAATGACGCCTGGATCTATGTCAATTATGTAACAAGTTACCTTGAGGAAAATACATTCAGCTCTTAGAGGAAAAAGAACCTCAGCTATATCTTCCCCTATCATTCACCAACTTTTACTCAACAAATCACAATTCTAAAACCTTTCTGGGAGACACACTGAATAATTTTCAGCTAATACATTTTCAAGCTATTGAATACTCCTGCTTAACAAAGGATGGTCTCATATATGAACGGATTTTGACAGCTGTCTGCAACATCTTATTAGTTCCGTTGATTCCATTAATTGACATGATTTCCTTAAAAACAGATCCTATTCTTTCGGACCTCTCGGCAACCAAATATCTTATATCACTAGGTTATGTCCTCAGGTATGGACCTTGTCCATACTTCGTCATGACAAGAGATGTCAGATAATAAGGAAAGATAAATATGACCAGCACAAACACCACAAAAAGGCAACAGTAAGAAATTTTTACCCATAGGTCAAACACCCAAAGTACATAAAATAAGCCAAAAAATGCTATGACAACAGAAGCTATCGAGGCAATGAAAGGAAGCAAAAGAAAACAGCGAGGTGACAGCAATTTTCTTACAAGTATATCTTGACCTATCCATGCAAAGGAAACACGGCGGAAAACTGCCCAAACTACAGCAAAGGCTATACAGAATGGAGAAACGGCCAAAGTTAGGTGTGAAACAGCTCCAAAGATGGGTAACTTCACGAACGATTGCGCAGAATTCTCAAACCATCTGAAACTAAAATTTTTTGAGGTCAGTCTCGTAATATTAGTAAAAATCAGTCTGAGTACTTTTCAACATGATAAAAAGAAACAGAAGGCAGAAAAAGATGCTTCAGTAAAAGTGATATCAATATCCTGAAAAGTTGACATTCATCGTACTTTATTTCAGCTTTTTCACATTCATAGTGGAAAAGAGATAAGGCTCGAAAAAGAACCATTCACCACTACTTGATATTGATCCTAGAGGACATCTCACCAAGTAATTCTCATTTTAATATTCACTCATTACTCCTCACTCATTAGCCCAAACAAATCAATAGCCTTGAGGTAGTGAGATAGTTTTATAAATTCAGAATATCAGGGCATTATTTGTCATGAGAGATCAATTCTATTATATAGTAAGCAAACTCAATGACTCCTTTCAATATCAAACTTTTACCCATAAATTCCGTTAAAATCCACGCCTTCTAATTAGATGAAGCGTAATAATATACCCATAAATGATCGATAAAGGTGTTAAGCAGTCCTGTGCATACCTTACATCCCAAATTTGAATTTCGATCTTCTCATCAAATAACTATGCCAATTTTATTTCTTGATGCGTGCTCTTTGACTAGTATATAGAAAGCAAAACTTACATGAAAGAAGAGCAAAATAGGTACCAATTATATATCGGTTTCTTGTTGGCTGGGTATCGCAGCTACGCATAACTTAGCAGACATTGTGCAAGCATCAACAAGGAAAGCGCACTTGTCTTTGAAGAGTAGGAGTAACAGAAAGGTTGTGTTATGTACGAAGATATTTTGTCAAATTAAAAATGATTGATGACAATGTAAGCACATATGTAAATTCAATATCAGAAAAATTATATACCACGAAAGTAAAGCCACCAAACAAGTTTGCAGACCCTGCAACCATAGACACATTGCAAGGTTAAATCTCGTCACATAAAATGAGTAAGAGGTAAAGGCAAGATTAAAAAGATCATGTTCTATCTGTGACTATTTTTTGAAGGACTTGCTGACAGGAAAGCAAGTTGTCAATCAGTCAGTTACAGCTATACTGCAAACACCCCGATCCTCAACTGATGTACAATGTTCTAGATCTAAACAACACATGGAGAATGTTAATATATGTACTTTTGTCCATACGTCTATGCTCAATGTCTTTAGCAAATAGGTATTAAAATGCACATCTCTAAGTCAGTCTATGCGCCAAGACAATGGAAATTTCCCAAGGAATGCCAACATCCCAACTTTTGAGCATTCGCACTTTTATATCCACCATGATTGCCACAGGACACGGTGCTTGACAGGCAACAAGTACCACATGCAAGGGACAAGTATCAGAGGACTTGTTCATTTATTACCATTTCCTACCAAAAAACAGCCAAGTTTATGAAAATTCCCAAAACAGCTATTATGTTTCTTTCCTGGGAAATGCTGCAAAAACATAGACAGAAAAAAATTGCCAAAAACATACTCATACAGAACGCACATGAGAAAAGAAAGCGCACCTCTACTCCACCAATGCAAAACAGAACCACCAGAACCTCAATAAACCAGTAAGACATCAGTTTGTAGAGCATGACCAAGAAACATGAGGCAACTACAATAAAGAGAACAGCAGAAGTCGTGTTTATGTCCACAACACCACTGGAACCAATGCCTTCAATTTCTACCAACTCGTCAGAGCCATCCTGCCATTGTTAAAGTCTATATCAATTTGAAATAGCAATTACAGAGATATAGGTCCTTGTGTTCTTGAAACCCAAGGACAGAACAATTAAAATTGAGCTAAAAACAACAGTAATGTAACCTTCAGCAATTTCTCATGCTCGATAGCTGCTTCTCTAGCAGTCCTTGCAGACCAATAAGAAGCACATAAGATGGTCCCAACAGCCATAAGCCATAAGAACACTTCTGCAACATCCACCAATGGACGCTGTGGGGAGTATAACTGCACTGAGACTGAAAAAATAACGCACATTATGTTCGCCGTTGCAAGAAAGACAAAATTGGGAAGATACAACAATACAAAATGGAGATTTGTTACACCAATTTATTCGTTAAAAAGAAGATTCCGGTTAGTCCACAAACTTTTCTGCATAAATACGTGCTCTCAAGGAATGTAACTTAGGGTATAAGCTTCTCTAGACATGAATTTCACTTTCACTAGACGAAGAAACGCATATTACACACCATTCGTATTCATGTTTATAAGCTTCTCCAAGCTTGCGCCAGCATCTTGTGGAAGCATGACAGCCGGAATGCCAATCTTAACATCAGTTTGGTTCGCTTCGCAAACCATCTTGAAGAGTTCTGCACATCACGGCCAACATCAATAGAACATTAGATTCCGTTCTCTTTTCTTCTTTTCATTTGGCAGAAGCAAGTTCATGTGATTGGAACCATAATGACGCACTCAATTCATTTGATAAAATAGATAAGTATATATTGACAGTCACCACGATATTGAGCACTCGTACGGAATGAGTTCGCGAGTCACATCATCCAATGACAAGTCCATCTTGAAGTATGACGAGGAGTTAGAGGAGGGAGAAAAGGGAATTCTCGATGAACTTTGCTCATTAAACTTATTTATCTCTGTAAGGAAGGAGGAGACACTTGAATTCTGAGATTATGGTGACTCATGAGTCTCTTCTGAATGTTTGAAGTGAAAACATTACATCAATTAATGTCTATGATTTAGCATCTTTAAAAATCGCAATCGCATCACTTCAGGCAGGACAACCTAATTTTTGGACCGTTGCTTATCAGAAAAGGAGTTTATGACAATACTTAACAGGCAGTATCCTTTTTCAGCTTTCTGTGCATATTGTACATAGGATTAGCTAAAATGCCACCCAAGAGGTGGTTTATAGATTGCCAAAGAGTTCAGTTGAGCGCATCCTTTGTCCATTGTTAATCATTAATGACACGGCAAGCTCAGCATTTATAAGCAACTAGCGATGTGTAAACATTACACCCCAACAACTAAGAGTTCATATAAATACCTGTACGGTTGTTTATAATGAGTATTGCAGTTGCACCAGCATCTTCGGCATGATTTGACTTGATTGTGAAACTGCAATTACCTCTATGCACCACAACGACCTCCCCTTTAAGCTATGAAAGGTTTTACGTAAATGAAAATCAGTGAAAGCATTCACATTATATCTGGGTTTTCTATTCAGATTCAGATGCTTCAAATAGATAAGAACTTATCCATAGATATGTCTATAACTCATAGTTCACGGCAAAGAAATGAACCTTTTCCTTGGGCTTGGTACAAAAATCAGGAGGATCTGCGATTACAACTCTAGTATTGTTGGCATGTTTCTCTTTTGATTCTAGTGTAAGGCCAAATCGAGCACCAACACCAACATACTCAATGTCTTCAACACCATTCACCCAAGTAGGAACTTTCACCTATCATCGCAATATGGAGGTAATTGTCAGTTTATATAACCGTATCGATTGCCAACACGATTGCCAACATGAAGACCATGATGCCATTATCAAGCCTAACAAATGAACTCTAGATGGAATAAAAAAGCAATCGAACAAATTCTTCTCAATCATTTATCCTTAATGACTATATAAACTATGCTGCACCCGTCGTGACACTTTTGTGTTACCTCAGGTACGAGGTTTTTGTGTACGGTTATTCCACTTGTAATTTGCGTGTTGAAAAGTCAATATATCTCTTACCTTACCAAAAAAAAAACTATGCTATGTGATGATCACTGGTGCCACAGTGAATTGACCATAAACCCCTAAGTGCAAGGGATAAAACATGCTATGGCATCTAATTTTTCAGCTTCCTTTAGCAATCAACTTTAATCGGTTCCAGTTAGCTAGCCAAATGCCATAAAAAGAATAAAGGAAGCAATTATTTTACGAATAGATAGTCAAAAGATCATTAACCTAGTCCATGTGCTGAAATGGAAAGGCTAGAAGCCCACAGATGTAGGAGAAACATTAAAAAAAAGACTCATAAAGCTTGTCAGTTTATGTGTATCCAACGAAATAAATTGTGTGATCTATCGGCCCCTACAATAACTACAGGGGCAGAGAAAAGCATGTTAGATGAACGTAGGGGATTAAAAAGGATCATGTGTAATTCATCCTATTCTAGTCACCTAGAGACTGTCACGCAAGTGCAACTAATTACTTTTGGTTTGACTCAAGGATATATCTAACCCTAAGCAACCTCAGTGAGCCCAACTAAGCATTGAAGAGATCAGAATATATTTAGCAGAGCTTCTGATGTCCAAAAACGCTAATCCATTCAGGGGATATCATCCTCAATCACAGAGAACGGGGAAATAAACCTACCCACAATCAATCCAACCAAGATTGACTCTCATCGCCAAAAATGCAATTAGGGGGAGAAAGCATCCAAAGAACCTCCTTGAAGTCAACTCTAGTAATTTATCAACCATAAGGAACTGAACTAACTAAGGTCACTTCATTCTTAGCACTAGGCGAAAGTTCTGAGCACTACTAGAGAAAATCCTAAATCAATTTACCGAGAGCAGCGTCCAACAATCTCAGCACAAAGCACTAATCGCCTCCACTGGATATCGCCTTTCAAAAACTAATCCACCACGTCAAATCAAACGACCACGTGCAATCACTCTTATAAGACATCCATCTAAACCAAAAGTCTCTCCTCTCCCTTCCTTTTCCGCTTCTCCATCCCCTCATTTTCCTCAGCGCAATCAGATCAAAGCACCAAACGTATCAATCCAACAACAGCAGCAGAAACCTTGACCGAGTCATCACTCCGACCCCACCGCACCGATCGCGCTCAATTCAGCTCCAACCCAAGCCGACCGCCGAAGCCACGAGCTCACGGGGCCCCGCTCCTTCCTCCTCTCCTCCATTCTCAACGCCGCCCGACCGCGAGCCCGCCAATCGAACCGAAAAAAGCCAACGGAATACCGCAACGGACACGCAACGAAATGGCCGCCACAGAGAACAACGGAAAAAAAGTCACGGAAGCGGAATCGTCCTCAGCTCGAGCAAACAGAGGAAGCTAGGGTTCAAAAGAAATCTCACCAGGACGAAGTTGTTTTCGCAGCCGGGCCGCTTCGGCGCAACGTCGTCGTGGTGTACTATGTCGCCGGAGAGCGCCGGCCGGGGGCCCCAGCTCGCCGCCAGCAACCACGCCGCGAGGATCATCAGCCGCTGCTTCATCGTTCGGGATCCCGGAGCATCAACCGGAGCGCGCGGAGGACGTACGAGAGCTCGCTCGCGAGAAGAAGAAGAACAGAGCTCTCTCAGAGAGAGTTTCTAGAGAGAGAAAGAGAAATATCGGGTACTCGAGACTCCGTACTTTTCTTTTAAAAATCCAATTTTCCTTTTTTTTTTTAAATTCTCGTTGCTTTTTTTCAAAGTGTCGTCTTAGCGAAGAGGGGCGCCGGGTTGTAACCGTTGCGCGGTTTGTTCAACCGGTTTCCCTTACCTTTTCACACTAGGCCCTTCCCCCACCCCCCCACCGGCCAGCGCGTGCGCCGCACGGGCCGACGACGTTCGCACGTTTCGTTTCCACATCGGATGGAGGGAATAAAGAAATGAGTCAGTACTACCAAAAAAAAAAATACTACCAAAAATTTCAAATTGATATTTTTTTTATCGCCGAAAATCCTGTATACCCGTAATAAATTTATTTTGAACTAATATTTTGATCTCCAAAAACTCCAAACCGGTACACTTGTGACAAATTTGCCATCATTAAAATTGGATTAATAACACGAAAAATTAAAAGTTTGGTCTACCCATTATAAACGAAGGGGTGAAACCCCAGATTGGTACACCTATCAATTGCTACGTGCCATCCATAAAATTTAACGGAAACTAACAGAGAATAAAATTGTCACGGGTGTATTGATTTGGAGTTTTAGTTTTAGGAGTAAATTTATCATGAATTTATCGATTTGAGATTTTTCGTGATATTAACCTGAAATAAATAAACGGGAAATCATGGTTAATAATGTTATTTATCCACAGGGAACCTCTAATTAATGTCAATAAATGTTGGTGCTTGGTCCAATAATTGCAAATTCGTGAGTCTATCGAGGAAGACCAAAGGATGGACCTTTCTTGCCTTGTTGGACAATGGTGGGTAAAATAATCATTTCTAGGTAAGTTAATTGGGTGGGTCTCTGACCCAAAATAAAATAAAATAAAATTAAGAGGATCAAATTGACACGTAAATGAACTTAGAATGACGTGATCGACGATGACACTGGAGTAAAATGAGAACAAAAAAAATAATGATGGAAATAACAAAATAGACTTATAAAAGCAGTTAGGAAAATGGTGAGGCGAATTCGTATTGGGCGTCGAATGTGGTTTATTTGATGATTATTTAATGGCTCGCACGCAGTCCGTCGCATGGTTTGCGTGCTGATTTTGCATGTGAATCTCGGCATACCCAACATCGCTACCCCACTAAAAGAAAACATAGCTGAAGAGAATCATCTATACCCTTTCTTCGGCTTTTCCCCTGCAGCTCAAGTCTCGATTAAGCATGCGCTCCATCAAGCTGGTTACCGTTGATCATATAATATCATTGCTTGTGTTATTAACCCTTGATTAATTAATTAATTGAAAGCCAAACCATCATTCTTCCACTTCGACTCCACTTGCCCAAAAGTAGAAATGCTCAAGGTCGTCGACCGTACGTAACCCTGCCCCGCCACGCCAGCAAGTCGCGCGTGAGGCGGACCTCAAATTCTCTCCCCGGAGGTGACCGGCCACTCCCGCGGCAGGTCAAAAGCGACCCCCCGTATGAAGGCCGTACAGATAAGCCGGCGCTGGGGAATATAATCACAAATAATCGGGGCGCGGAGATCCGGTGCTTCTCAGATCCGGCGCACCCGCAGCGTGCGCCCGCTCGCGACAACCGTCCGCCCCCCCCGGGTCAAAGTCAAATTCCCCCCTCGCTCTTCCCGTTTGACTTCCTCCCTCGGTCGGGCTTCTCGCGTCGCGATACGTCACCGGGGCGCGCGCGCGCCCCCCGTGGGACTCGGCCGCAGGGGAAAATATCCTGGACCAGTCGTCGAGGAGCATACGGAATTGGAAAGCGGGGGCTGGGGTGGGGGGCCCCACGCGGCGGGGCTCGGGGTCAGGTGTTCACACGTACGAGGGGGCGGTGAGGCGTCGCACGTGCGGGAGTGGGGCTCACTCCCCGCACGTGCGGGGCCCCTTTGCTTTGTCCTGCGATGAGATGTGTGAGATGGTTCGCAGATTGGCCTTTCGTGACGATAATTACTTCCGTTTTTTTTTTCTTTTTTTTTTAAATATTTATTGTTTATTTTGAAGTACGTTGGGTTCTTATCCAATTTTTTGGGCTCGGGTGCGTCCAAGAGGAACCGGTGTTTCTTTTTTAATGGGTCTGAATTATTTAATCGAAAGAGGTTAGTGAAAGGGGAAAAACAAATAAGAAAAAAAAGAATAATGTCCGTCGACGCGGGCATGCTCTCCCGAATTGAAAATATGCAGATAGAAAAAATGACACATATGATTCCCGAGCTTAGACTCGACAAGCAATGTCGTCCATGAACTTTTCATTTGTTGAGTGTGGTTAATGAAACTTTAGCTCGATGTTCAATATCGTCCCTAAACATTTAATTTATTTAACGTCGCCCTTGTACTTTTTGGTACATGTCCAATTTAGCCCTTTGACTATATGAAAATGTTCAATATTGTCCTCGAACTTAAATTAATAAAAAGATAATATTGAATATTCTCATATAGCCTTAGCGACGAGATTGAACATTTACCCAAAATTCAAAAATCATATTAAACAAATTAAAATATTTGTGATTGATTTTGCACGTTGAGCTAAAATTCACAGACTATTTATGTAATTATCCCTGTTCTAAGTGTAAACAAACAGGCTTGCTGCCACGAAATTACTACCATAACCTCGTGTTTAACTCACGCGCCTATGCTCTTACGTATATCACTCCTGCTCCCGGAATGTATATGTACAAGAAAAGCCCCACCGGAGCAGCATAACCGTACAGAGATTTTGCTGTTTGACAGACCCCTTTTAGTTAGCAGCACACGACTGTACAGAGATTTTGCTGTTTGACAGACCACATTATTTAGCTTTCATTGCTCTGAAGCCATTCTCGAATAGCCGACCGGACAATCCTATTCGACACGAGATTTAAGTTCTCGAGCCGAAGATTCGTCATGGGCGAAGTGTTGTGGCCGTTCAGCCATTCCCTTATCGCCTCCGCTTCATATGTATAGCCATCCGCCGCCACAAGAGGGTCTTCCATAATCTCCTGCAAAAAGCACTGTCGACTCAAAAGTCCTTCAAGAATTCAAAACGGCGAGATCATGTTGAACCTATGCCACTATATATGAATTGGATCACAAGGTGCCAGGACAAGTCCTGTTGCTGATGTAACAAACTGAGCTGGTATGACAAGTTCCGTCACGTTTTCTCCTGTAAGATAATTAAGGCGAGCGCGTACTTTCCAGCTGTGTTCGGATTTGTGAAGATGAGCATAGGCAATGACTACCGCAGAATGAAAGAAGTAGCAACTTACATGTTTTATTGGACAAAGGAAATACGAAGGAGGCTGGGTATGCTCTTCACCAGGAGAACGATCAGATGATGACGCTCGTTCACATAGTGTTGGGATTTGTTCAAGCAGTGGCCACACCTCTGACCGAAGATCCGGTCGGTTGCTTGTATCTATCTCACAGCAACTCAAAGCTAGGCGTGCCAGCTCTGTGACCTGCTCAAGAGGCCATTGCCCTGCTGTTTGATCCAATGCGGCATCTAACTCATCATCATCCAACGCATTTTGCACAATCTCGTCTAAATTCAATGCCGCTTGACCAGTAAGTAACCGCAATAGTACAACCCCAAATGAATAAACATCTGACACAGCAGAAAAGTCTCCTGTTGTACCGGAACTAAAAAGCACGTCGTGTGATCCAAAGTCACTCAGTTTAGCCACGAAGTTGGCATCGAGAAGAATATTTCGGGGTGTTAGATCACCATGAGCTATCCCACGAGGTTTAAAGGAGTGCAAATAAATAAGTGCAGCACACGTATCTCTACATATCTGTAACCTTGTTTGCCATGATAGGGGGGCAGCGTTATCTCTACAGCTTAGCCGGTCTTCGAGGTTACCATTTGGGAGATTCTCGTAGATGAGAGCCCAATCTCCCGGACAAACCCCAATGAGGGTGACCAAATTTGGATGCCTCAACATGCTCGCAATGTGAACCTGAAACAGCAGCCCATAATGACATCAATGCCTACTTCAATATCTCAGTAAATAAAACAGAAAATTGAGTAAAGCCTGTGTAATCACATTTCTTTAAGAAATATAGTCATATTCACCTGATCTTTAATCTCTTCAACTTCTGCTTGAATAAAACAAAAAAGAGGCAAATGTGCTAGCAAATTTACAATTTAGGTTACATGTTTCAAAAAGTTTCTAGCAATCACGTAGGCATGCATATGCGCAAAGTCCTTACTACGCAGGGGCCTTCAACTATTTCTTAGACAACTTTTTAGCACCATCATCCAGAGATAATCTCATTCAAATTGGAGGGTATGCAATTTTTGAGGAAATACAATTAAACTACGAGTACCTCACCTCCTGATGGTACTGTGATGGGCCATGTGAGCTATCAGAACACATCATCTTTATGGCCACTCGGGTATGACGAAGAAAACCTTTATAAGTGCTTCCATAATCCCCTTCCTCTATTTTTGAGGAAGGATCGAAATTCTCCGTAGCTTCCTGAATTTCTGAGAAAGAAAACTTGGTAACGACTTCCTGATCCTGCAAGTTCAAACTTGAGGGTTCACTTGCTTGGTTTGCTGACAGCTCCTCATTAGCTTTAAGTGCATTTTCAAACAGCATTTGTAGGTCGTTTCTCTCATTCTCAATCATTTTGCATCTCTCCCTTTCTTTCTCTAGCATCTCCTCAAGATTAATCCTCCGACTTAATTCCTCGGCGTGTAAGCTCTCAAGTGCACCAACCTGTAAATAGGCAGTGACATTGGAAAAATCCAAGAAAATAAGTAACACTTCCAATACTGTATCCAAAACTTTAGTGCAAGTCATAAGATTGTTGAGAGTGAAGTTGATGCTTTAATAGCTTCAAATCATCTAAATTAATCCTTGACAAAAAAGGAGTACATCAGCGTAAAGGACAAACTCTGCTCAAATGGTAGAAATTATGTCGATGCTCCTTTTAAAGTTCCAACTGAAAAGGAATCGAAAGGTTAATTAATCTTCAAAACAAGTTAAATTCGTTGTCCGCACATTCTGCACTCTGTAATCTAGATTCTAGGTTTCCCAATCCACACATGGACTGACGGTAACAATTTAGAAACTAAAATGAATATGCAGTATCTTCACCATCACTGCTCTAGGAAAAACTCCCAGATTTTCACGCATATATACTCCCTATTTAAAACATAGCCATGGCAAGCACCACACTTGAAATTTAAAAAAAAAAACATTAAAAGAACTCATGGTGCCTAGTTGTGTTAACATGTTTCTACATAGGAATCATCCTAAGATTTCAAATCAAGAAGTTTACTTTGCGTTTAGCCTCAATTGCAGCCTTTTCAGCTTTATGACGGCGAATCAACTCTTCGAGTGCCTCCCTTTTTGCCTTTGTGACCTCTGACATTGCTCTGTCAAGTTGTTCACAGAGTTCCTCACCGTTACTTCTTTCCTGTTGGGAAATAAATATATTTGGGTTACGCTACCTATGAAACCAGCTAATTAACTTGAATAGAAGAACAGCCGAATAAGAGAGTAGAGAGGTTTTTTTCCTTACCGCTGCACTAGATGGAGGTTGATGAACAGCAGGCACCGGATTTGTTTCTGAGCTATGGTCACTCCTTTCAAGTCCATCAAACTGAACCAAGGCTAGATTATCTACAACTTCGCTAGAGTCAGATGCAGAGTTATCTGAACCCAGAGTACTCTGTCCAGATTGGACAAAGGAGCTCACTGGTTCTGACGATGTCGCAATATACGGATAAGAGGTGCTTGACCTACTTTCCCTGACATTCAGATTTAGCAATTTGCATTAGCTTCATGACATATTCACTTTAAGTCGGTCAGAAGTTGCAGAATAAACTTAAGCAGCAATCTCTGATATAATCCTACATGGGGAGGCCTTACTTAGAGCCAGATGCTAAATTTATATTATATACCAAGTCGACTCATAAGTTTCTTCTGGAAAAATTTTAAAACTCATAAAGTTTGGTCAATGATATGAAATCGATCTTAGTACTTCCAAGAAACACGGATGGATTCTAAGCCCTCGATTCATCCCCATAAGCCAATTGGACAGGAAACGGGGTTCGAAAACCCAATTTCCGATACCATGTTGGACATTATGCCAAAAAATTTAATAATAAAGCACCACAATCAAATGCGTTGAAAGAAAATGTGAAAAGCTTGACTGTTCAACTCTTCAAGATATCTCAATATCTGGCAGTGAAAGTTCAGCATTGTTATGCATACCTCAAGTAAACTGGATAGTCTCTGCAGATAAACCAAATTTCACAGGATGGATGAGCATGCTGGTTCACAAACATTGCTTTTGTAGATTTAAGCTGTGTCATGCCCCTACAGGTTCAATATTTATTTCAATAAAGGAGTGAAAATATAGCAATCATCTCAGTAAAACATCTTGATAGTCAACTCCATAATTACATCAAGTAACACGAGAGCTTGAGCTAAGTAGCCATCATCTAAAATGGGCAGACTTTTACCATAAGCAGTAGTAAGAAAAAGGATCAACAAACAAACAACTAGCCAAACTAAACACTCAGTGGATAAAAGAACTCATAAATAGATCTCTTTCCGGCCACTTTGTTAGACATATTAGTTATTTAGAATCTAGGCGCGGCAAAGATTTTCAATGCAATGGTTTCTGCTCATTCACTGACTCATTTAGCAGAATATGAGAACCTATGCAGCATTTGTCCAAGATTTTGCATGCATTAAAGCATCGGTGACACCAGTCAAGTGAATAAAACATTGCATCCCAAAACAAAACCCTCCATTAAGTCCATAATTTAATGAGCATTAATCAGTCCGCTATTGTGAATAAAGATAAGCCATAGGTTATTACTCAATATAGTGACTATGTGCTGCTGCTCCCATAACGAGCTTCCTGATGCAATGCTGCTCAACAAGTTCCACAATCCCTTGCCCTACATCCTGCATCTCAGCATATATTTTCATCGAAGAAACCTGGCATAGAAGCAGCATTTGGGAAGCACAAGTAACAAGAATCAGGACTAAGTAATAAAAATAATGGTTCCGATGGTTTGATTGTATTCGTTCTCAAGATTCCTTTCAAGGTGGCATAATAAGCAATGACAATCTGGAAGGAAAATATTCTAGGCAAAGGATTTGCTTTCAAAAACTTCCCAACGATGGACTCTCATTAGGATTTGTGAATGCATAATTGTCCACGATTTCCACTTAGATATGATTGCGAACCTTCTCAATGTCAAAATGTTCTCATCTACAAAGGGTACTGACAGAAATCACTCAACCTCACTAGTTTGAAATTTCTAAACCATTGAATCCAAAAGGAACCAATGGTAATGGAGTCCGCTGAGAAGTCAAGACAATCAGTTCGAGATCAAAAGAAATCGTCTCATCTTTCATATAAACTCAATAAAGCGAGAGTTTACAATGTCTTTCGTCAAGATAATTGCACCAAAAGTCCAAAACCTTGTCATGAAAGTGCAATCAATTCTAAAACTTTCATACAATGTCTTTCCTCAAGATAATTGCAACAAAAGTCTAAAAACTTGTCATGAAAGTGCAATCGAGTTCTAAAACTTTCAGATAGTGCAATAAGTCCTAAAACTTGTAAAATTGGTGCAATGAAGTCCCTATGTTAACTCAATCTAATTTGGCAAACAGAAAAAGTCCCTATAAAACTGTTGACAAAAAAATAAACCGATTTCAGGAACGAACCTTTGCTTGGTTACACATTTGAATGTATGCATCCAGAATGTCGTTCATATTCTGCCTTGCAAATTCTGGAGATTTCACCAATTGCAAACAAAGAAAAAACTTCTGTTGAATAATTACTGCAGAAGGCAAAAAGTACTAACTGGAAAGACTACTAGCAATGCAAATCACAAATCAAAATGCTGCTCTCAATTTCTTAAAGAGAACGATAAGTGGTCAGTCTAGACATACAGCAAAGCATATTTATCTCATGAATCATTTTGGAAGTGCGCCAAAAAAACCGCATTTGAGATGAAGACGAACATGATGCCATTTGTTATCATCATATTCAAAATTGTATGACCACCCATCTATAAATGATGTCTAATAGTTTGCACATATGATAAAAAAACCCGCACTCGCTTTTAGATGCAAGAGACGCGCGAACAAAGTTCTTCACCAATTCAAGATTATCCCTGCTACCAGCAGACATCTGCCACAAGAAACCGCAGAAAGATCAACCTCCAAGCAGCCATATCAATATCTCAATCCCATTACTTTTTGTTTTCCTTTTGCTAAGTAAGCAAGAAAGTTTTATTCACAAAAATGATCAAATGCAACCCAAGTATGCTACAACAGAGTCCATTTTACAGCAGGCTCCAACTCCTGCATATCTCCAAATGCTGTCATGTGTAGCGCGTACTTCTTCAAGCAAGACAACATTTGGAAAATGAAATTGGCTTGACGGTTTCGTCTCGTCAATAATGTACATGGAAAGGAACAAGAGCTAAGGGGGTCAAGGTCAACAGCTAATGCTTGCATTGCAAATTTATTTCACCCGTCACATCTGAACTTCGAGCCCTGCAATCTCGATCGACCCAGAAGGGACCCAACAACAGAAACAGAGACGGAGCTTAAAATCTCCAAAGAAGCATCCTTTTCAGCTCACGGGACACAGAAATTACCAGGTGGGTCGAGCTGACGGACATGTAGGATGCAATACTTGAACTCGACTCCGAAGTTCTGAAGTGCCCACAAGAGAGTCGTCATGCTCTCCGCGCCGTCGCTCCCCACCGCGACGTACACGTTCCCCAACACCACTCCAGACGACGAACCCTCGTCCCTGCTCGCCATCGTCGTCGTCGTCGTGAGCGAGCGCACCGAGCTCGTACGGCGTGATCCCGCGCCCGCTGATCGGAGACCAGGCGTGTGCTTCGGCGGGTGTGTGCTGGCTGGCTGACTGAGCGGAACGGGAAAGAACCCAGTAACGAGAAAACGCCTCGGCTTCTGCTGATCGTTATCTACACACACACACACACACACACACACACACACACATATATATATATATATATATATATATATATATCTCTCTCTCTCCCACGCTCACAGTGGTAACTTCTGAAGGAAGGTCCAACAAAGAAAGAATCTGGGAAAAAGGTGGTTCCTTTTTCCCAGGTCTTGGCCGTAGTCAATGGGCGGCCACTTGCAGAAATTTTTCATATTTTTCCGAGGTTTAACGTGTCGGGAGGTCGGGTTATGCGCGTATTTGGCAACGATCCCGCAAAATTACGCTCATACGTACGTGGGCATGAAAACTGGTGTATCAAAAGTGTGTGTTCTTTCCGGTCTTCTCGTACTAGGAAAAGGTCCTCTCGATGCTCTAAGGCCCTTCACAACGTTCTGAATCAGCTCACGTACAGCTTCAATAGGTGAACTATAGCCCCAAGTGAGAAAGAGCCAATATTGAGGTGCCAAGCCTTCCCGTGAACTGTTAGTAAAATTGAAAGTTTGAGAAAATGATGTGATTTCGTAACTTGGGGTAGCTACGAAGAGTTATATAATATGGGCAATTTTATGATAGACCACTCCATGAGTTACTATTATAGTACCCAAAAAAAATATGGGTGCAAGCATAAAGATGGATTGATTTGATTGATAGGGATATAGAACCTAACGTGGCCTTTTTTCCCTTGTATTCGATCACAAAAAAGTGGAAAATGGGTCCCGTTTTATTCCCTCGCTCTTATTTTCATGATCGTTTTTCTTAGGCTGCATTTGAAAGAGCCTTTAGGGAAAAAAACCTTTGAATAAATGCAAAGCATCTTAGCTTAGATTGGAAGATTTTTCATGAAAAGTAAAAACTATTTGATGAACCGTAGTTGAAAAGCGCGTTGGGAAATAAGTTTGTGAGAGAGACATCCGGTGGAAATGACCAATTTAAGCTTTTTAATTTTTAATAAGTTTGAGATTGAAAAATTTAAGGGAAAAAGTTACAAAAAATATCAAATTATGCTCACCGTGATCCAATTACCCGAAATCTTTTTTTGTGACATAAAAAATCCTAAAATATGCCTCCCGTTGCCCTAAAATTTTTCTCGTGATTTGAAAAAACCCCATAAGTGTACCAATGTGATGCATTTAGCCTCTATCAAAGTTTCGTCAAATAATTTTTCAATTAAAACAACGTCGTTTTTTATTTTACTTAAAGCTACATGAACATCATGTCAACAATATTTGCTTTCCAGCATTAATATAGGCAGATTTCTAATAGTAATTCTTCACGAAACTTTGACGGAAGGTAAATGTGTCACAAAATACAAGTTTAGAATTTTTTGTGTCATAGAAAAAGATTTAGGGTAAATATATCACAGTATTTGTGATTTTTTATGACTCTTGCCCACCAAAAAAAGGGAAAATACCACAAAAAATCCAAAACTATGCCACTTGTGACAAATTTACCCTGAATTTTTTTTTGTAACACGAAAAATTACAAACTATGCCACTTGTGACAAATTTACCCTAAACTTTTTTTATGACACGAAAAACGCCAAACTATGTCACCTGTGACACATTTACCCTACAATACTTTGGCCCATGGGCATTTTCGTCTTTTTTCTTTTTCTTTTTTTTTTCTTTTTTTCTCTCTTCCCCGGCGAGGGCTGCCCGGCATCGGGCGAGCGTCTCCCTCTCCTGGGCGGCCGAGGGCAACCCTTGCCTGAGTCGGGCAAAGTCGCCCTTGCCGGATCTGATGAAGGCAGCCCTAGCCGGGGAAGAGAGAAAAAAAAAAAGAAAAAGGAAAAAGACGAAGATGTCCATGGGCCAAAGTATTGTGGGGTAAATGTGTCACAGGTGACATAGTTTGGGGTTTTTCGTGTCATAAAAAAAAGTTCAGGGTAAATTTGTCACAAGTGGCACAGTTTGGGGTTTTTCGTATCACAAAAAAAGGTTCAGGATAAATTTGTCACAAGTGACATAGTTTGGAGTTTTTGGTGGTATTTTCCCAAAAAAGATGATTAGCAACCTTTTACCATTTAAATGTTGAGAATAGTATAACGGTAGCATAGTAACAAATTTATAAATAAAAAAGTCATGTTTCTTTTTAGATCACAAAAAACCAAATGGAAAAAAACTCATATTAAAGTGGATTATGGCATATTCTTTACTTTCACTTCCTTTTCAATATACCAAACACTCGCTCAATTTCTAATCGCAATGAAAAATGGGCACGGTTGAATACTTTTTAATAGCTTGTAGATGCAGGATCTCATCAAACCTCTGGGAAATAATATCTAACTTCTTTATATGACCCTAAATAAACTGTGATATTTGAATATCTGACATCTATTAAATAATAATTACCTATAAATTGCTTCCACTATTCATCGCTCGCATCGATGATTTTCTTTCTTAGATCCCATCTTATTCATGTTTCCTCGAGAAGCAATTGCTTTCAATTTTTTGTATTCTTCTTTAAGATCATCCCACTTACTCTTCATTTAAATTCTATTGTGCTTTTTGCCTCTCAGCTCCTCCAATTTGTTAATTATGACTATATCTATCCCTTTTGTTGGTTGCTTCAGTGCGCAGCTTACAAAAAGTTTCTATATCTTCAGGACTCGAATGTGTAAGGGTGATCAGTTCCTGGTTCGATCCGGTTCTGATCCTGTCTAATGGAACCAGTCACTTTTTTTTTCCCTACTTAATACAATATATTTTGAAACTGGAATTGTGTTTCCTATGCCTTCTACACATAATCACAAAAACAAGCGTGTAATTCAAGCCAATGCGATGAAGAATTGTGTTCCTGCCGACTACACATATGTTCTAAAATTGGAATTATATTTCCCTTGCTAACTACACAATCACAACAAAAAAGTATATTTAGTCGGTCTAGTCCAGTTAGTCCGGTTCCCCTTGGAACAGGGAACCGGATCGCTTGGATATCGGTTCCACTTTTAGGAACCGAGAATCGGACTGACACTCTTAGGAATCAGACCAAACCGGCCAGTCTGGTCCGGTTCGAGCGGTTCCCAGTTTGGGCAACCAGTTTTGCACACCCCTACAAATGTGCCTCTTTCTTTGATGAATTTGCCATCTTCTAGTAAAATGAATATGAAAAAATATATGAAAAAATTCGGGAGGCACAAAAAGAATGAGTTTGCTTATGACCCAATTGCACTTTCATGAAGCAGAGGGAAAAAAGGGTAAATTCATGATAAGTTTTAGGATTCAATTGCACTTTTTAAAAGTTTTAGAATTTGATTGCATTTTTTTAAAGTTTAGGAGTTAGTTGCACTTTCGTGATAAGTTTTAGGACTCCTAGTATTTATCCCTATTTTTGAAAAAAAGAGTAAATTTGAAATTATAACTAGTGAGCGAGGGTGAGATTGGAAATTCGAAAAATTCATTAACTCAGGGCGGAGCATATGCTGAACACTCCCCCTTTGGAAATGCATTGCATTTCCCAAACGGCCCTCCAAAACTCTTCGCCAAAAATTATTGCATTTTCTCATAAAGTGTTGCCAAACGCAAAGAGCTTGGAGACGATTTTCCCCTCGAGGATGAACTTTTACGAAGGATTCATTACTGTTAAAAGAAAAAAAAAAGGAATAAGAAGAGTTTCAAAAACATCACGTGAAAAGAGAGCTAATTTAAAAAAAAAGCATCAACTTTATTTTGAGTTACAATTCTGATCTGAATTTTTTTTTGTTTCAATAAAAAGCACCAATTCTTACTCGAGTCCCAAATCTGACCCCCGTGAAGTGAAATTTTTATGTTGTTCGGCTCAAATTTGGAATTTAAGTGAAAATTTATAATTTTTTATGAGACAAAAAAAGAGTTCGAACTAGAATTGTCACTCAAGATAAAGTTGATTTATTTTTTTTCTGGAATTAGGGCCGTGAAAAGATGAAAAAGAAGAAGGAGAGACTACCATGCGTTCTGGAATGTAAGGACAATGGAAGCACTGATGCTTTTGTGACAAGGCCATTAACAGAATCAACCAAGGCCAACCCAGAACTGGATTTTTATAGTCAGCAAAGAGGGTATAGTGTATCATAAGCATTATGCTCCACAAATGATATAATCAGAAGAAAAGTCCTCTCACATCAATATACAACAATTTCGATATGTTTCGGAAAATTTAGAAGGGTGTTCGAGGAACGGCGTGAGTCGAGCTATCAAGCTACTCAAACTAACCAAGCGTTTGTGAGCAGTCTCGGCTGCTCGGGGACCGAGGCTAGTCCGAAGAGTTCGATAGCAGATGATTTACTGCTCAAGGGGAATAAACCATCGACAGTTTCTTTAAGCGAAAATTACACATGAAGATAGATAAGACAGAGATCATGAGACAACGCTTGGAGGTGTAAGTGCATAGTCGCAATGCACTTGAATTCTATCAGCAATGAGGTGCGCGGCCATTGAACCGTCACGAAGATAATCGAGCTGTCCGAAGCTTTACGAAACTAGGAACTGCAGAATTGCTAATCAAGAGTGCAAAGAAGGATAACAAGATCATGGTTAAATTACGTGATATGGAGATACAGTTGAAATAGATTTCATGCAATTCTAAGCACATTTCGTAGCATATGCACACTGAGAAATCCACTCATGGTATGTACAGACGGTAAATGCGAGGTGGTCAAACCGACACCCAAGACCTAGAAACCAAAACGCCTATGATACAATTCCATGCCAAAATTAAGGATCAATGGTTTTGCAGCCACTCTTGAATCATTGAGCGGACAGTCTGATTCGGGAAAAGCCCACGGTTTGAAAGCTGAAGATTCGTCATGGGTGAAGTATCGTGGTCTCTAAGCCAGAGCCTTATTGCCTCTGCTTCGTAAGTAAAACCATCTGCCGCCACATGAGGATCTCGCATGATTTCCTAAACGCACAGTCAAATGAAGTACATTAATCATGATCAACAAATTCGGGCCAACATATGGAAATTCAATATAAACAGTGAATAGTATATGCTGAGATAAACTGATAAGCCGACTCACGTGGGAGATAGGACAAGTGAAATATTGAGGAGGCTGGCCAGGCTCTTCTGGACCAGACCGACTGGATAATGAGGCTTCACAACGGGTTCGCATCCTTTCAAGTACCGGCCACACCTGTGACCTAAGACACGGTCGATTATTGCTATCACTGTCACGGCAACTTAATGCCAGGTGAGCCAGCTCCTTGGCTTGCTCGAATGGCCAGTTCCCTGCTGTAGGATCCAACACGACACTTAAATTCCCTACATCTAATGCAGTTTGCATCACTTCATCTAAATTCAGGGCTGATCTCCCAGTCAGTAACCGCAATAACACATTACCAAATGAATAAACATCAGAGGCAAAAGATAATTCTCCTGTCGTGGGGGAATGAGACTGGGCAGAATGCAATCCAAAGTTCGTTATTTTGGCCACGAAGTTTGAGTCAAGAAGAATATTTCCCGGTTTCAGATCACCATGTACCATACCGTAGCAAGAATGAAGAAACACAAGTGCAGCACATGTATCTGCACAAATATGTATTCGAGTTTGCCAAGATAGATGGTTGCTGCTGTCCCTGGCACCGAGTTGGTCTTCAAGGCTGCCATTAGGGAGGTATTCATAAATGGCAGCCGAAGCATCGGGGCAGACTCCAATGAGGCTTACCAAATTAGGATGCCTCGACTTAGTCGCAACTTGAATCTGAAACATAACCGACAACTATGGGAGAGTGACCCCAACATGACCCCAGCTAACAAGACAAAGATTACTAGATTACCATAGTAAAGAAATATCTTGATCATTCATTTATCAGACTTGTCCCCAAATAAAACAATAAACAGATCTCCAGTAAGTTTTAAGATTTAGATTACATTATTTATCTTTAAGCGAGTTAGAGTCACCAGCGAGCTTCTGAAGTTTTTGCAGCCACTTGACCTTTTCCTGGTTCCCTAGACAACTTCATAATGCCATTGCCCTAATAATAATTTATTTAAATTGTTTGGCGCGCCTTCCAGGAAATTCCAATAATGCACAACCACCTTACCTCATGATGGTAGTTGCAGAGGTGCAGCATCTTTATGGCCACCGGCGTGTGATGAAGCGAACCTTTGTAAGTGCTCCCATACTCCCCTTCCTCAATCATTAACGATGAATCAAAACTCTCGGTAGCTTCCTGTATTTCTGAGAACGAAAACTCATAAATTAACGCCTGTCCACGTGCACTTGAGGGTTCGCTTGTTTGGTTAGCCAAGAGTTCCTCGCTCAGCGTCTGTAGTTCCTCATGCTGTTTATTCAGCAGTTCGAATGCTTCCTTTTCTTTTGCTAGCAATTCCTCAAGATCTTTCCTCCTTCTTAGCTCCTCATTGAATGCATTTTCAAGTGCTTTAAGCTGCAAATAGGCAAGGAAATCAGCAGATTGCATAATAATGCTTCAAAATTCTTTCGGAATTGCTTTATCCCAATAATTCATGCTGCATCATAACAATATAACTGACAACCGAGTAAGACCTCATAACAAGGACTTTACTTTGCGGGTAGCATCATTCGCTGTTTTCTCAGCTTTTTGACGCCGGATCAACTCTTCTAGTGCCTCCCGTTTTGCACGCGCAACTTCTTCACATGCTTGGTCAAGTTGTTTGTAGAGATCCTCGCTATAACTCCCTTCCTGAGAGGAGATAATCATCGTTGCATTCATAAGAAAGATTTTCCCTCCAAGTAATTTATCTAACACCAGCTGTAGTATATAAATTATGAACGCGTACAGTATAAAAAGGAAAAGAAAATTCTCACCCTTCCAGTATAACTTTGATTTTGACTGTAGCCTTCATATGCACGCACTGAATTTGATTCAGTAATGTGGTTGCTCCCCTCACCCCTTTCATATCGAACCAAAGCTAAATCATCTTCGACTTCACTAGAGTTGGATCTTGAATGAACCGAACCAAGAGAAGGACTCCTCATATTTTGGTGTCCAGATTCACCAACAGAACCACCAGGTAATACCGATGGTGCGATGTCCATATCAAAAGTGTTTAAATCACCTTCCCTGTAAACATTTGGTATGTCACATCTACTGAGATAAGGTTGTGTTCAACTAAAGCTCGACATGAATTTTAGAAATAGCTTAAGCAGCAATCTCCAATATACTCCTGTACATAAAGAGCCTTAACCGAAACCTCAAGAAGTGGATGTCCATGGCTTCCATCAGCAAATGGAGATGCGAACCCAGGAAACTTAGGGTCTCTTTGGAGTGAATCTGACTTTCATTTAACAATAAAAACCCAAAATCTTTGAAAATCAATTTATATAAACTTCTAAAGTCATTTACAATCATTGAAAATTTGTTCCCTGAAATTTATCGTCTTCATGCTTTCCATAATTACACCTCAATAAAAGCAGTCACACGTACCTTGACCAGATTAGGTTCCCATTGCAGACAAACCAAATACGACAAGATGGATGCGCATGCTGGTTTACAAATTTGGCTTTCGTGGATGTGAGTTGTCTCATCTCTCTGCATCATGAAAAGCAGATGACCAAGCAATTTCGAGAATACGAATGAAAACGAAAAAGGACACAGACCTTTAGACATGTATTTGTCGACTTAAAATACACTACCAAGCAAACAGCTCAACCTAACTGTGATCATTACAATTGGCTGCTTCATTACATACAGGATTCCAGGTTTAGCCTGTCAAGATAATCCTAGTAGGTCGTTCAGATAAGTAACTATGCTAGCTCATTAAGCAAAGCCCGAGTACTGTTGGACCCTTAATCTAGGACCAGGACAAGGCAAATATCAGATTAGCTTGTACTGCCCAAGTACCGTAATTTAATTAAAGATACAATCATGAATCATGATTAGGTCTTACTCAAAATAGCGTCTGTTTGCAGCTGCTCCCATGACAAGCTTCGTAATGGCATGCAGCTCGATAAGTTCCACAATCCCTTTTCCTATATCTTGCGTCTCAACGTATCTTTTCTTAGCAGGAACCTGGAGAAAGAAACGGCGGTTCGCACACATAAATACACTCCGAAAATTTTTATTTGGTGGCAGTAGTTCTAGTCTTCTAGCAATTTTGCTTCAGGTAAAAATAAATAACCGTGATATGAGAGATTCACCCATCACGCAGGTCGAATTATTTACAAAGAATAGAGAGTTTAGTGCAATCAATAGTAATTTGTAGAAGCAACAAATGTGTACTATAGAAGGAAGGTACTAACCCCTGCTTGGTCACACATGTGAATGTACTCAGCCAGAATGCTTTCCATCTCTTGCCTTGCGAGTTCTTGAGGACGTGCTGCGGAGCGGAGTTCAACCACATAAAGGAAACCATTGTTACAGAACTATAGCAGAGGAAAATTACTTTAACTAGAACTTGAAAGGAATACTAGCAATTCGATAGCATTCAAATATTATATTTCTAGAGTAGGTCATTCTCAGGAGTGAGAGAAAACTTATCTCCCGAACCATTTTGCAGATGCATCATCCTTCAGACAATCATACTAAGTAGTAAACTAATCAAGATTCAACCGTGCAGTCATAACATAAATTGGTGGAAATATAAGATTCGTGGTGAGCTATTTTTAACCCAAAATCAATGAACGACCCATCTATCGATAAAGTCCAATAATGGGCTTGGGTAGAGATGAACTTCCTTCAATGCAGTCCCACAAAACTATCACCTGAAATCATTGGAGATCTTCTTGCTGATAGAGAGCAGGTGCACCCAAATTAAAGAAAGAAAAAAAAATTGGCCATGAATAAAGCTAACCGAAAACTACCAAGTCTCCACTTCTTAATTCACTCAAACAGGATTTCACATTGACATAAATGTACTCACCTTTGAGGAAATTGACAAACAACGAAGCAATCTCTTTCAACATATACCATATGGATTCAGCTGATCAAGCGATGACATTAAGAGAAGTAATTACCATAATCATTATTACACAGAGTCATCCCTTTGACAATAAAAGATAAGTAAAATCTCGAGCAGATTATCATGTGTGCTTGAAAGCTTCCACCGAGCAGAGTATCAAACATTGCAGGAACATGATTGAGCCTACAAGGAGACCCTAAAACTCATAAAAGCAAATTCAAGCCGACATAAAACGAACCATATGAAAATTCACAACATTCCGAGCACATGGTTCTGTGTCTCCTTGTAATACACAGCAAACTGAAAAGAAAAGCAGGAAAAACAAAAACTTTGTGGGTCAGGATCCATGGGAAAGTCATGCCATGACACTGTTCACCTCCACAGTTCTGCCAATCAACGATTGTAAAAAGAACAATGTATATTAGATGGATTAACTCGGCAAAGCCACCACCTTCGAACCCGATCACTTACGAGATGGATTCATCTGACGAGGCTGGTGAACATGGATGATGCGAAAGTCGCCTCCGAAATTATCCAACGCCCACAAGAGGGTCGGCTTGCTCTCCCGCACGTCCCTCCCCACCGCGACGTAGACCCGGTCGTTGACCACCCTCGCCGGCGATCCACCTCCGCCGCCGTCCCCCTCCATCGCAGCCGCCGCCGCCGCCGCCGCACGACCCGAAACAGGGGGAATAAGAAGAAGGAGCAAGCGGGCAGAGAGCTAACTTCCACCTGGGAGAAGAGAGACACTAACCAGTGACGACGACCCAGATGAAGTTTCTTCCCAATTCGTTCGCTTTTAACGGACCGGCGCCTCTCCCTGTGTTCGGGCACGGGAGGGAGGTGTCCAATCAGCTTCAAGAGGGCAATTCTGGCAAGCCCAACTTAGCCAAGGTGTTCAAAGAACTGAACTGCTGTCTCAAGAACTGCTGTGTCTCTCTCTCTCTCTCTCTGTGCCATGGTGCTCAAAAGAACTGCTGTCTCTTCCATCTCTCTCTCTCTGTCTGTCTTTGTCGGTCTTTCCTTACGTAACCCAGATGACAGAATCGAAGTGGGGTTGAACTTCCGAAGGAGGCGTTCGTTTCCTCTTGTTTTCTCTTTTGTCGTTTGCAAAGTCTTTGTCAAGTCAATGGGCCAAAGGAAAGCAAAGGCCATGAAAAAGCCACCGCTTTCGGGGAAACGGAGTGGGAAACGGTCGTCCGTCATCATGGTGCTCGGGAAGTGTGGGGAAAATCAACATTCCCCCTACCGTCTCCTTTGGGTGTGTGTGTGGCGGGGTGTATCTCTGCTTTATTTTTCACTTTTGTACCCCGCATTTAATCTTGGGTTAATATCACGAAGCCCGTATTAGTACATTCACAACAATTTTATTTTAAATTAATTTTTTTATCACAAATAACCCAAAATTAATATATTTGCGATAAATTTACGTTCCGTTAAATTAGATTAATACAAAAAAAAATCACAAATTAGTACATTTATGACAAACAAAGGGTAAAACCCAAAATCAGTATGTCCGTCAACTGTCACGTGTAATTTAATTTAGCAATTTGACAATAAAATTTAACGGAAACTAACGGAGGTAAATTTATCACGAGTGTACCGGTTTGGGGTTTTTGGTAGTTAAAAAATTAGTTTAGGGTAAATTTGTCACGAGTGTACTAATTTGAAGGTTTTTGTGGTATTAGCCCCTTCATCTTTGATACTTCTTTTCCTCCATTGATGGAGATTTTCCATCCAAAAAATTCGATCTCAGACAATTTGGGTAGTCGTCCTTCGGAAAAGTGGTCGGCATTGCAGATCCTTTACAGACGTGCCGTCGTTTCTGGTGCCTCTATTTAGTAAGGGACCATTTGTTTCGTGAAAAAGTGATTGATTTAGAAAATATTTTCTTGAAAATAATCGCTTGTATCGCTCGAAATAATCTGTTGATGAAAAATGTTTCACTATCAACGTGGACGATGAAAATCTTTTTTTATTCGTTCATTTTTGTAAGTGATTATTTTTAAAAAAAATATTTTTCAATTCATTTTTTTTTCGTGAAATAAACGGAGTCTAAAATGCGAGAATGAAATGGAATGGAGATTCTTGTGTGACTTACACAATGTTGCAAAAGGATATTTTTAAAAGATTTCATATACATTGCACTTGGAATTAATAGTGCCGGCAGATGCGCGTGCGCTTTGCGTACGTTCGCGCAAAAAATTGTCAAATAGTTGAATAAGGAAAAGAAACTATAAATAAAAATTGCAAAATACAAAGAAATTGTATAAATAAATTTACAAAAAAGAGAAACATATTTCGAGTTTTGAAATCTTCCTAGGAAGTATTAATAATAATCGATATCTCTTGAATATTTTTTTACTATAATCTACGTATTTATAGTGGAAACATCAATGGCTTCATTAAAAAATTTTAATTGTATTTTATCATATGATTTCAAGTAGATGATGGATTCTATTTTATATGCGAGTGGGTCTTTTCGACCTCCCACCCCTTTTCCTTTCTCTTTTCACTTTCTCTTATTTTCTCGCGCATGATATGAACTTCTAGATTTGAGCACATCCCTAAAGGTCTCGTCTCGGTTCTCATCCAACTTCGAAATCATCGGGATGTAAAACTTCCAAAAGGTATTTCCTCTCTCTGGGAAAAACAAAAATACAGAGAGAATTGGAGATGCGAGGCGTGCTAGCACCGACACATTAAAATAAGGAACGCATCCGTAGAGCATTCCCTGCAAAATAGGAACATGCCGTGAGAGTCCTCGTAGCAACGAAAGCTCCCTTTTCGACCTTCCCCCACTTCTCCTTTGTCTTTTCACTTTCTCTCTTTTTTTCAGGCGCACACGATGTGAACTTGTTCTTGCGCCTAGTGCTATTGCCAAAGTAATGAAATTCCACTAGAAAATGCAAATTTTGGATCCGTCAACTATGGATGCGAGACAGCATATCTACTTTTACGAAAGGAAGTCCTCAAGATTACTTTGCTTTTTGTTTTATTTTCTCTTGTTCTAAACATTGTGGCGGGCACACATTGACAGTACTCAAAACTTTTACGGTGTACAAAATTTTTCCCACATAAATTCACATATACGAGTCCATACGTTTTTAAAGTTCGGATAGTATTCTAAAATTGGAATGCGAAAAATAAAGTCTAAATTAACAGGCTCTAAGAGGATGGAATTTATTTTTGCAAATCCAATCGAATTTTAATTCGGAATACTAATATCATCTCTATTATATCTGTAATATTCAATAAAGAAAAGCCGACATCCCACTCTTGAAGAGATCTCAATCTAATTTGTTCTTCCCAAATGTCCTCGGTTATTTATTGTACAAATATCAATCCAGGAAAAAAATGTGCAAGTTAATAATTATGTATAGTTTTTTTCACAAGCTTTAAATTACAAAATACTAGTAAATGAGAACACGCAGTTGCGTGTATGCAAGAAATTGACATTCGAAATTTTTAACAAAATCACCTTATTATATGATATATCTGGATCGTTCAATTATGGAAATGAATAATTTTTATACCCCAAACTAGTAACACCTGTGATAAATTTGTCCAAAATTAATTTTTTGACCACGAAAAATCTCAAACTGATACACCTGTGACAAATTTACCCCCAGTTTGTTTCCGTTAAATTTTACTATCAAATTGTTTTGTTAAATGACACGCGGCAGTTGACAGATGTACTAATTTTATGTTTTATCTTTTATTTGTCATAGGTGTACCGGTTTATGATTTTTTATGGTATTAATCCAATTTAACAGAAATTAACGGAGAAAAAAAATTCCACATATGTCCTAATTTGAAATTTTTGGTAGTCAAAAAATTAGTATGGGATAAATTTATCAAAGATGTACTGGTTTGAAATCTATACAATATTATCCTTGAACTTTTAACTTATTTAATACGGTTGTTGAACTAAGGTAAATGCGGTCCTTCCATTTGCATCATTTTCACATAGTTTAAGAGACTAATTTGAATATTTACCAATATTTCAGGGGACAAATTGAATAAATTAAAAGTTTCAAGGATGACATTGCACATCGAGCTAAAATTCAGGAATAAAATTGTACAAATTAAAAGTCCTAACACGACATCACACATTAGTCTAAAGGTCGGGGACTACTCGTGCTCTTATTCCAAATGAAAACGATGTTATTTTTTACGAGCTATATTTTACAAGCAATATTATACAGGTCGCCTAAGCAACGGAAGAGGGTAACGAGAGCTTATCCAAGGAAATACCAACTAAGGGCGAAAGATGAGCGAAACACAGACGCCCAAGGCACGCCGATCTCAGAAGGGATCTAACTTTTCGGATCGAGGAACCGGACTTCCAATTCACTTAGCCATCCATCTCACCTCTCCGGTGTCCTTGTTTTCTTGCGAAGCATCTTGGTGAGAAGTAATGTTTCCACAATATCATCTATTTACAGGATCTAGAGCTGCAGTTGAAATAGATTCCATGCAGTTTTCAACAAAGTTTTTCAACAGTTCAATGGTTTTGCAGCCACTCTTGAATCATTGAACGGAGAGTCTGGTTCGGGAAAAGATCGAGGGTCGAAAGCGGACGATTCGTCATGGGCGAAGCATTGCGGCTGCTAAGCCAGCGCCTTATTTCCGATGCTTCGTAAGTGAAACCGTCCGCCGCCACATGAGGATCTTGCATGATTTCCTACACGCGCGGTCAAATGAAGTACATTAATCCATGATCAACGTATTCAGGCCAATATATGGATACCCGGTTTAAGCAGTGAATTAACATATGCTGAGATGATATGCTAAGCCTGACTCACGCAGGAGATTGGACAGATGAAGTGATGTGGAGGCTGGCTGGGCTCTTCTGGACCGGACCGACTGTATGAAGAGGCTTCACAACGGGTTCGCATCCGTTCAAGTACCGGCCACACCTGAGTCCCAAGATCCGGTCGATTATCACTATCAATGTTACAGCAGCTTAATGCCAGGTGAGCCAGCTCCGTGGCTTGCTCCAATGACCAGTGCCCTGCTGTGGGATCCAACAAGGCACCTAGATTCCCTGCATCTAACTCGTTTTGCATCACTTCATCTAGATCCAGGGCCGATCTTCCAGTGAGTAACCGCAGTAACACATTACCAAATGAATAAACATCAGAGGCAAAAGACAATTCTCCTGCCGTGGGGGAATGAGACGGGGCAGAATGCAATCCAAAGTTGGTTATTTTGGCCGCGAAGTTGGAGTCAAGAAGAATATTACCCGGTTTCAGATCGCCATGTACTATACCGTGGTAAGAATGAAGAAACATAAGCGCGGCACATATATCTGCACAAATACGTATTCGAGTTTGCCAAGACAGATGGTTGCTGGTGTCCCTGGCACTGAGTTGGTCTTCAAGGCTGCCATTCGGGAGGTACTCATAAATGAGAGCCGAAGCAACCGGGGAGACTCCAATGAGGGTTACCAAATTAGGATGCCTCGACTTCGTCGCAAGTTGAACCTGAAACAGAACCGACAAGTATGGGAGAGAGACCCCCACACGACCCCGGCAAACAAGACAAAGATTACTAGATTACCAAAGAAAGAAATCGTATCTTCATCATTCATTTTTCAGCATTGTCCCTAAATAAAACAATAAACAGATCTCCAGTAAGTTTTCAAATTTAAACTACATCATCACTCTCTGAGCAAATTAAAGCCACCAGTGTGCTTCGTAAGTTTTTGCAGCCACATGACCTTTTCCTGGTTCCATAGACAACTTCATAATGCCATTCCCCTAATAATCTATTATTTAAATTGTTTTGTGTGCCTTCCAGGAAATTATAACAATACACAACCACCTTACCTCCTTCCGGTAATTGCAGCGGTGCGGGATCTTTATGGCCACTTGCATGTGATGAAGCAAACCTTTATAAGTTCTCCCATACTCCCCTACCTCGATCTTTAACGATGGATCAAAACTGTGGGTAGCTTCCTCTAATTCGTACCAAGAAAACTCAGAAATGAAGTTCTGTCCATGTGCACTGGAGGGTTCGCTTGTTTGGTTAGCCAAGAGTTCAGAGTTAGCTTTCAGAGCATCATCGTACAGCATCTCCAGTTCCTCGTATTGATTCTTCAGCTCTTTGAATGCTTCTTTTTCTATTGCTAGCGATTCCTCAAGATCTTTCCTCACTCTTAGCTGCCCATTGTATATATCTTCAAGTGCTTTAAGCTGCAGATAGGCAAAGATATCAGCAGATTGCATAATAATGTTTGAAAATTCTCTAGGAATAATTTTATCAAAACAGTTCATGCTACATGAAAACAATAAATTTAGTACTGAACCAAATAGGGCCTCATAACAAGGACTTTACTTTATGGGTAGCCCCATTTGCAGTTTTCTCAGCTTTCCTAGTAATTTATCTGAACACCAGCGACAGTATATACACCGGAACTTGAAATTATGAATGGATACAGTCTAAAAAGAAAGGAGGGTTCTCACCATTCCATATGCACGCATGGAATTTGATTCAGAAATACAATTACTCCTCTCACCCCTTTCATACCGGACCGAGGCTAGATCGTCTTCGACTTCACTAGAGTTGGAGCTTGAATGAACTGAACCAAAAGGACTCCTTACATTTTGTAGTCCAGATTCATCAACAGAACTACCTTGTAATACTGATGGTGTGATGTCCATATGGAAAGTGTCTAAATCACCTTCGCTGTAAAGATTTGGTAGGTCACATCAACTGAGATAAGGTTGTGTTCAAGTAAAGCTTGAGATGAGTTTTAGAAAAAGCTTAAGCAGCAGTCTCCAATATACTCCTGTACATGAAGAGCCTCAACCAAAGCCTCGAGAAATGAATGTGCATGGCTTCTATCAGCAGATGGAGATGGGGACCTTGGAAACTTACGGTCTCTTTGGAGTAACTTTCTTGTTCTTATACCTTTTTAGTTTTCAGCGTTTGGATTTGCCTTTTATTTAACAATGAACACCCGAAGTCTTTGATAATCAATACATATAAACTTCTAAAATCATTTGAAATCATTGAAACTTTGTTCCTTGAGATTTATCATCTCCATGCTTGCCATGATTACACCTCAATAAAATGACCATGCGTACCTTGAGTAGATTAGGTGCCCATTGCAGACAAACCAAATGGAACAAGATGGATGTGCATGCTGGTTTACAAATTTCGCTTTCTTGGATGTGAGTTGTGTCATCCCCCTGCAACATGAAAGGCAGATGATCAAGCAATTTTGAGAATAGAAATGAACAAGAAAAAGGAAGCAGATTTTTAAACACGTACCCATACAATACCAAGCAAACAGCTTAACCTAACTGTGATCATTACAATTGGCCACTTCATTACATAAAGGATTCTAGATTTTGTCTGTTGAGATAATCCTAGTAGCTCACTCAGATACGTAACTATGCTAGCTCATTAAGCAAAGCCCAAGTACTGGTGGGCCCTTAATCTAGGACCAGGATGGGGTAGAAATCAGATTAGCTTGTACTATAAATATCAGATTAGCTTTTACTGCCCAAGTACTGTAAATTAAATAAGATTCAATCATGAATCATGATTGATCGTACTCAAAATGGCGTCTGTCTGCAGCTGCTCCCATGACAAGCTTCGTGATGGCATGCTGCTCGATGAGTTCCACAATCCCTCTTCCTATATCTAGCATCTCAATGAATCTTTTCTCAGCACGAACCTGAAGAAAGAAAGAGTAGTTTGCCCACATAAATACATTCTGAAACTTTTTATTTGGCTGCAGTAGTTTTAGTCTTCTAGCGATTTTGCTTCAGGTAAAAACAAATAACCGTGACATGAGAGATTCACCGGCCATGTAGGTCAAATTATTTACAAAGAATAGAGAGCTTTGTGCAATCAGTAGTAATTTTTAGAAGCAACGAATGTGTACTATAGAAGGAAGGTACTAACCTCTGCTTGGTTACACACGTGAATGTACTCATCCAGAATGCTGTCCATCTCTTGCCTTGCAAGTTCTTGAGGATTCCTGGATCCACTACCATAAGAGGGGCGTGCTGCGGAGCGGAGTTCGACCACATAATGGAAACTATTAACTAGAACTTGAAAGGAATACTAGCAATTCGCTTGCAATCAAATATTATATTTCTAGAGTCTCAGGAGACAGAGAAAACTTATCTCCCCAACAATTTCGCAGATGCATCATCCTTCAGACAATAATACTAAGTAGGAAACTAACCAAGATTCAACCGTGCAGTCATAACAAATATTAGTGGAAATATAAGATTCGTGGTGAGCTGACATGAAATGAAACATATGAAAATTCACAACATTCCAAGTACATGGTTCTGCGTCTCCTTGCAATACACAGCAAACTGAAAAGAAAAGCAGAAAAACAAAAGAAACTTTGTGGGTCAAAATCTATTGGAAAGTCATGCCATGACACTGTTCAACTCCACAGTTCTGACGATCAATGGTACTGAAAAGAACAACGTATAAGATGGGTTAACTTGGCAAAGCCATCACCTTTGAACCCGATCACTTACTAGATGGATTCAGCCGGTGAGGTCGATGAACGTGAATGATGCGAAAGTCGCCACCGAAATTCTCCAATGCCCACGAAAGGGTCGACTTGCTCTCCCGCACGTCCCTCCCCACCGCGACGTAGACTCTGTTGTTGACCACCGTGTCCGGCCCGTCACTGTCCTCCATCATCGCCGCCGTTCAACTCGAAACAGGGGAAGAAGAAACAGAGCAACTTCACTGATCAGTGATGACCCGAGTGAGTGTTTTCGGATTCCTTTGCTCATAAAGGACTGGAGGGAAATGTCCAATCAGCTTCAAGAGGGCAACCATGGCAAGCCCAGCTAGCCAAGGTGTCAAAAGGGTCGCTGTCTCTTTCATCTCTCTCTCTCTCTCTCTCTCTCTGTGTCGGCACAGTTGAGTTGATTGAAACTTCCGAAGGAAGGTGTTTGTTTCTTTTTGTTTTCTCTTTTTTGTTTCCAAAGTCTTTGTAGAGTCAATGGCCCAAAAGAAGCTGCCATGAAAGCCATAGCTTTCGGGGAAACGGAGTGGGAAAAGGCCATCATCGGGCTCGAGATGCGTGGGGGATCCACATTCACTAGTGCATCTCGGGTCTCGCCTGGACCTCGAGATCTCAGGATGTAAAGCAACACGAAAACATCTCCTTCCGAGGAAGAAAAAAATATGAGAGGACTTGGGGGACAAAGCGTGCGGGTAACTTAAAATAAGGAGCGCATTTATGAACCCGCCGTCATTATAACACAAATGGACAGGACGTGGAAGCCCTGTTAGAGATCTTTGTTATTTTGAGCAAAACATCTTCCATTGAAGGCCACTTTGGATTATTTCAAACTCCCGAATTATCTCTACTTATTGATAAATAAAAATCTTATTAGGATCGGTGACTTTTGCTCCTTAAATTCAATTTCGGTATGTCTTTTTTTCTTTTTTTTTTTCTGACAATCAAGATATTCCAAGAAATACAATCACCACGTTTCGGCAGTCATCCTTTCGAAAAATCATCGCGTTGAAAGTCCTTTACCGACGTACCATTGGATGTAATGTCGTGTTTGATATGGCAGAGTGTGGAAATGAAATGGAATAGGGATTCTTCTGCTTGGTTCTAGGAAATAACGATGTTGGAATGGCATTGAACGAGAACATTTGAATAATTTTTACATTGCGTTCACGTTAATACACCGGCAAATGTGCATGCCTTCTGTGCATGTGAATTGTGTATTTGGACCTTTCCACATCTTTATACAATTCCTCTTGTAACTTGCGTATTTTTCGTTAATATCGCTTAATGTTCCAAATATTTAGCGATGAGGTGGTTTTATCTGGTTTTCGAAATGCGAGTCTTTTGCATACCCGCGGCGCGTGTGCACATTTGCCGGTATAATATCGATGAAAACGATGTTTTTCTTTTTAGAAGTAATATGTAAACAAAACAAATCATCCATACAATAGAAAGAGTGTAACGAGAGTTTATATTTATTTCACTTTTAGCCAACTCGCTTCTTCCATGCACCCACCCGACCCGAGGGGCCGGGCCCGACTCATCACATGACCCGACCCGGACCGGCCCAATCGGATCGAAGCAATTCCATTTCCCTCCCTATAAATAGTCTTCCCAAATCCCGCCAACGGCCACAAAACACACAACTCTCTCTCTCTCTCGCTCTGCAATGCAGTGATCCGTCAGCTTCCGTCTCCGAGTTTGTTCTCTGTTCGATCGAACGAAGTGGATCGAGCGATGAAGATGAAGATCAACCGCGCCTGCGACCTCAGCTCCATCTCCGTCCTCCCTCCTCACGCCAGGTTCGGCCCCCCCGCGCTCTCTCTCTCTCTCTCTCTCTCTCTCTCTTCCTTTCGTGCGATCGATCGTCCACTCGCTTCGTTTCGAGAAATCCTTGATTCCGTAGCTTTCAGGAGCTGCTGTTCTACGTTCGTGCGAGTCCATGAGCATTCCCGGTCTGGTTTGATTGCTTCAGTTCTCGCGAGCGATGAGCGGACGACGGCGTGAATCTTCCGGCTTCGTGGAATTTTGCCGCTTCTGAACCGTCTGATTTTGGGCGGAAAAATGCGCGAAATGATTGCGATTAGATTACGAATGACCTCATCAGCTGAATCGGAGCATGTAATTGTGCGTTGCTAGTTCTATTGAGGATTGAATCTAAAGATCGATTTTGACTTTTCCGTGAAGTATTGACAGAGACGAGGAGGTTTTTGAAATTTTAGGGAAATCTGCGATTAGATGCAGCGTCATCGTGGTGGTTCTCACGCTTGGTTTCGTTTTTTCTCAAGTGGACTTGGAAGAGATTGTGCCTCTGAGATGATGTGAAAATAGGAATTCGGCTGCCTGTATCTGAGTCCTCATTTATTTATCAGTTCTAGAGAAATCTCATGCCTTGTGACGAGCAATGTACATTTTATTACCTACAGCAGTTTCCTGTCCTCCATGTTACAGCATTTCGTGCTAGTGTCTGTGTAGTCATCTGCTCTTCTTGTAGAAGGAATGAAGACCAAAATTGTTTCGCCTTCTCTTGAAAGTGGAGCTTAGCTGCTAACATATGCCGTAAAATGAAGATCAAAGCTAAATGCTGTATGGTGATGATGTGCAGGAGACCAACAACTCTACAAGCTGGAGGACAAGCATCGCATCTGCAAACTCAGCAACAGTCGCAACAATCATTTTCTCAGGGACTTTCATCACAGCATGGGCTATTTTCTCAGTTCTCTCAGACTTCTCTGGATGAAGTTTTAACGAACGATCTGGTCTAGCCTTTTTTACTTTGACTATTAACATATGAACAGAAAAATTTGCGGTCATCACTCAGGATTGTATATTCACACAGAATGCTTTCACTAGGAAATGAGGTTTAGATGGTTTGAATTGGATTCCACATGTCATCTCTGGTGTGCAAGTGAAGAAATATGGCTCATAGGTCAGAAATTTCACCTATTATCTGGTCAGACGAGAAAGTGTTATATAGAGTGTTTAGATTAAATACACCCACGTGTTGAAACAAGTTGATTGATTTTTTAAAATGGGGTTGTACTTTGACTAGAAAAAACCGGCATTTTTCTCATAAATCTGAAGCATCTCGACTGAAATTGGTTTGTGACATTTACATGGTATAATTGCTTAATGAGATGCCAACATGATACCTTGGCTATTCTCGTTCTTTGATGTTTCGGGAGATTCTTTAGTCATTAGTACAACGAAACTTGTCAGAAGTTCAGCTGAGATGGACCGTGGTCGCTCTGGACAAGTTTTGAGATGAAATCTATGTCAAACTTGTGCAACACTTTGATCTATCTTCGGATAAATTTGCTGCACCATGATTGTATCTACCCATAGAGAGTACAATAATCATTGACAATTGCTTGCCACTTCTGAATTTTCTTTTCGTCGATTTCCTATGTATAACTCTTTCGGTTCAAACTTATTCTCAAGTTTTCTTTCTATAGATAGGAACATGCTTCTCGATGGATGAAATTATTTGCAGTGACGAGAACAGAATCCTGCAAACTCTAGTTACATTTTATCATGCCGTTCAAGTATCATATTTTCATTTGACGTTTGGATAAATAATGGCGAATAAATTCATATCTATGCAATCTTTCTTCTTTAACATTTAGGTGATTGTGATTTTATCCTTCTATATAATGAGCATTTTAAGACATTGATTTTAACATCAGTTTCACACAATTTACTTGCAGAGATATAGTTCTGGAGAACGAGAGAACTCTAAAAAGAACATACCTTCCTTAGCTCGGGTCAATCGTACGCGAGAAGAGAGTCAAATGCCAATCTCAAGAAATTCCACCAAACTTATCCGGAAGTGGAGTGCCAGTTCCTCATTAGATGGTGGAAGTAAGCTACAGAAAATATCAACGGCCAGATGAAAATTTCTAGAGGCTTTTCATAATGGTCCTTGACACAGAAGTTCCTGAATTTTGTGTTAATTTATTTCACTAATCCTTGTTTATGATGTTAAATATGATGAGGTTTCGTGAATTTCATCTGTTCACCTTTCTTAAGGGTAGAGTTATGACTATTTGATCCATATTTGCACTATAATGAGTTTACAAAGCTTCAAGGAGCATTATTGTTACTTTTGCAGGTCAGATAACAGAAGAACTTGAGCGCAGAATTGGATTGATGGAAGCTTCATTGAGCAGGTATGGGATAGTAGTGGATTCTGTCCAGAGTGATGTCATGCAAGTAAACAAAAGAACAAGAGAATTATCCCTAGAAGGTAAATTCTCTATCATATGTATGCCAAATAATTATGCAACATGAGATTTTTTTAACAGTGTTATTGCAATTCATATTATAACCACCAAGTACCTTGGGACATATGGTCATCACCAATTCAAAATCAAAGAACTAATGGAAGTAAAATGTCAATAGCCTCACTACTTAAATTATGACAAATTCGTCACAAATACCATTTGGAGTTACATTCATTTTCACTTTGTGTGGAATTGATAGCAGTCATCTTTCATGATGTTATGTATGATACGTCTTTAAGAGAGTGCTCCAAATTGACTAGTCAACGTCTGTGTTCTTCTGATTGTTGATGCAGTGGAAAGCATACAGCAGAAGTTGATGAACCAGGATAACTCATTGCAGCAGATGGTAACACATCATATCTAATCTTTATTTTTGTGGTCCTGCTCAAGAATTCACACTCACATGATTGTCATGCATGACCATTTATCACTCTCTTGACATGGTGAATTAGAGCAAAGGACAGGAAGATATCAAAGCTAGCCTGGATGGTTGTTTCAAATCAATATCTGAACAACTCAATAAGCACAAAAACGAGGACAGATTGCAGGAAGTCTTCTCAGCACTTTCAGCTTTACCAGAGAAGGTAGAAGGACTAATGCTGAAACTACAAGATCAGCTTCAAAATACCTTCACTAAAGAAATGCAGGTATATGGTTATACAATTCAAAGCTTATTTCATGTTTTCCTTAGTTTCTGGTAACTTTCTTAAAGGTGAAAGCAAATAGTACTCAGGGTATGCCTGTACCCATAGCCAAGAAAATTCCCTTGTGTTCCAGACTGATCATTTACTTTGAATTGTTTTTTTTCCATCCTTTTTGTACTTTTATGAGATAAATTTCCCTCCATGCCTTGACTTATTCCAGGCAGCACGACAGATCCTGCGGGACCAAAAATCAGCAGCACCTGCTGTTCTTCCAGTAAAGGTAGTTTAATGCTCTATTAAAGATCACATGGACTTATCAATTGCTCTATGGGAAATAAAGCAATTGAGCTTGCAAGCTTGCAGGGTACCATCATTTGTGCTCTCCCACAAAGGAAAGCACAACAGTTACAAAGGTATATGATCTTGTCTTTGGTGATTGCTTTTCTGAATAAGACAAATAAATCATCACAGCCCTGTTAGCAAGGTTAAGTAGTCTATAGCTCAGAGGTGTCAAGCCTGGATTCATCGTTTTGGCTGCTTATAATATCAGAAGTGAAAGTTTCATGAGATATTGATATAACTGACAAACCTTATGCATCAAAATATGCACTCTTGAGTTTTAAAAGCCTATTTGGGTAGCCAGCATGCTGACACTTTTAACAACTACACGCAGGTTTTATTTTTCTCTGCAGTCAAAGCTGAGATGCACTGACATTATCTTTTGTAAAAGCAAGGCATTGCATGTGGTGAATCTAATTACCCTTTCAAATGGGTGTTCGTATAATTATTGGAATTTGTAGGATGGAATTTATTCGCTGGTCAAATTACTCTAATTGTCTATGTGTGTGTGTGTGCGTCTTTTTTTATGAAACACACATATCAAAAGAACACAATCTAACTCAACATGAGTTGTAATTAGCTGGGCCTAGGATGGATCTTTCACTTGCTGTCTGTGTCTGATCTGGGATTGCATGCATGTTTTGATTAGTAAATGTGCTTCCTGCTTGCTTGCCTACTTATGTTTTGCTTGTCCCAATTTTCTTGTGTCCCGTGTCCCCAAGCATTTTGAAATATCAAAGTTTTGGTTTCAGTTCAGCGGCAAATTCAGCAGCGCATTTGCAAACCAATTTGGTATCGAAGACAGAAATAGGAGGGTGGACGTCAGTGAAGTCGGAAAAATCAACTTTTGCTTCTAATATGCCAACTATGAAGCACAAGCAAAAAGATGTGTTATCAAACAGAAAGGTATTTCTGCTTTTTCGAGTTCCATTTTGCTCACCGTGTGGCAATCGATAATAAGACATGCTTGTCAATTCCTCAAATGAAGGATCGGTACAAGTTCTACTGAGTTGCTTGAAATCATCTCAGTGATTTTGTTGCGCATATGATCTTATCACCTGGTTGAAGGGCAAGTACTTCATCTTACTCGTGGCACTCTTGGCAGGTCAGGGTGGATGAAAGAGAATGTCGACTTGCGATTGAGTCGGATGAGGAGATTGATGGTGGATTTTCTTGCTTACTTGATGACAGGGAGACAGGTAAAACTAATTTATTTTCCTTATGGGATGATAAGTACCTGTCAGCTGCTACTAGTTGGGAAATAAATGGAAGTATCACCAGATTTACGAAGCCATTCAGGAGCAAGATTTAGCCCATTAGCTCCGCTCAAGATTGACATGTAGAATGTTATTATTTTCCACAAACCTGATACACCACTCATGAAAGCTAGTAAATGCTAAACGGATTAGTTTTAAAGATATCTCCAGTTTTGTGCAGCTATATAGATGTTTATAAGGAGGCACTATCCCTCATCAAAATTCCTTGGGCAGATAGGGGAAGCTCCATTACAGATGAAGTCAAGGTAGAGACGGCACGTATTCTAAGGAAAGCGAGGAAACGAAAGTGGAGGTCTTCCAAAACTATAGTCATTAATTGAAGGTCTGTAGCTCCTTTTTCTCTATGAGATGTTGCACATCTAGTATTTCCTGTCCGCAGACTGGTAGATGTTTGCAAATAATATTCTCTCTAGCATTTTGCTTCAAGTCGGGAAGAATTAGAATTTATGGCAGAGGCAATTACATCTTGTAATGTCCCTATCATCGTATCTTATCAAAGCACATACGAGGATTTGTTTGTTGTTTATTGGCCAGTGGTACTGCAGTAGACAAAGTGGTATTTGTCTGTAATGCCTAATCCATTCTCACTGGGGAATTACTGGATAGGCCAATGCTTCTTCCATAGCTTGGTGTTGGAAATAAGGCTCAAATTCCTGGCGGAGAGGAGACAAGCCTCTGGAAAAGCACATCCGGTTCTGCTGAATAACCACGGTAAGGTATCTTCTTACCTGACCGAGCGTCGTAAACTGCTGTAACCGTTAATCGTACACGTAAATCTGGTGTAACTATGTCGCGGACATTTACCTAGCTGTTTACATCTTAGTAAGATGTACTCACTGGATATATCTGTAGCATTTCATGATTGATATTCTGGAGAATGAAGTTGTCTATTAGACTTTCGCTGAAGTTAACAAAGCAGTGGAGTGATCAACTGAATTATGAGATGAATTCCTCCCAATCAATAGTGGAATAGGATCTCTAGAACGACGCATGCCGCTAGCACCAGGTCTAGCCCTAGCCCAAAATAGATCCATGATCCCTCTGCTTGATATTTTCTCCCTTTTGGGCCAACCCCTTCGCTCCAACCTCTAAAACAGTTGTCTTTTGCCATTATTTTTGTAGTTTTCCCCAACTGACCTCTTTACATATTACATAAATCCATTCTAAATTAATTTTATGTCTGTTTATTTTATTGGATGACCAACTAATTTGTTGAATGATTAATCAAAATCACGTAAGCATTCTCTCCATTATTTTGTACTTTTCCCTAATAACCTCTTCATATATTGCATGAATCCATTTTAAAAGGTTTTGGGTGTCTGTTTTATTTCTATTAAACGACTGAGTAATCACTTTTTTTGCGATTTTAATTCAGCATTATTTGCTGAATAATTAATCACGTAATTATTTTTGGCCATGAGTTTGTATTTTTCCCGCTTGACGTCTTCATACATCACACGATTCCATTTCAAATTTATGTTAGGAATATCAATGTTAGATAATTGGAATAGAGCTTGTTTTTCCATCTAATCAACGAAGAAGATAATGTCTTGGTAGTGTAAAGGGAAGTAGGGAGGGAATGGACCCATCCTTTTCGATAGTCCAAAGGGGCACTCGACATACCATACTTTATCCCCAATTTTTCGTACAATCCATTAGTCATTGGCTTCGCTTCGAGGACATCATGGAATTCCATGACTCAGTGAAGTACCAATCACGGGTTACTAACGGTCTTCTGATATGCATCTATTTACGCAACCACCATTCTCATTTCAAGTGCAAACATAGTCACGAGAGACAAGTAACATATCTCATGCAAGCACATTGGTGAAATTTTCTTTTCTCATAAAAGACCCCGCTTAAAGATTTATAGTTGTGTCGTAAGTGTAAAATCTTTTTTACTCTAGCAATGATTAAATGGAAATTCTCATCTACTAAGTCTTTAATATTACGTTAAGACTCTCCCTGGGAATTAATTAAAAGGCCCAACTACAGCTTTTTGCTAATTGCTCAGAAAAGAGAGAGAGAGAGAGAGAGAGAGAGCATCAGGCTTTAACCGGGTGGTCCTAAGGTACGTCTTCCATGGACCGAGTCACGATCCCATTCCCCCATAGGACATGATGATTCCCCACTGCATGGGCACGATAAAAAGCGAGAGATTTCACCAACACTATCTTCCTTAGGTGAAATGAAAGTGAAATCATACACGCCAACACCATCATTACCATTATCAAGGGTTGGATTTGAAACCTTAAAAAAGGATAATCCAACCGTGAAAAACATTCGAAACGGGAAAGTCCCCTGTCCGAGTCGTAGTCAGGATTTCACCCAACTCGTAAAGCACAAACAAATGCAGCATCAACGAGACCAAAAACTTCAGCGGGACGACAAGTGCGTCGTTGGTAATCGAGACTTTGGTTGTGATTGTGATCGCCACGTTGGGGGTGGGGAGGAATGTTTGGTACGATCTTTTACATGATAACGGGCCAGCAAACATGGACCCTATCGTCGCCAAAGCTAGCACTGACAATTGGTCCTGCTCGTGAGCTGATTCGACGATCCGATCCCCAACTAATTGTGAGGAAACGGGGAAGTTTCAGCTTCAGGTTAGGCAGGAGACGTTCCGGTTGGGTGAGCTGAATCACTCAATTTCACATATCTACTTATCTAGGGAAAAAACCAGATCCATTGCGACGACGAAAATCCACCTACCCGCTACTGCCGCCAAAACGATCTATATAAAGAGTTATTCCTGGGGACCCCATAAAGGTGTTTACGTCGATCAATTGTCGATATCGGATATTCACATGGTGACATCACTCTGTGGGAGTAACTATGGCTTAGATCTTGATGTACCGCCAATCATGATTCGCGAAGATTGCCGAGCGCAAACGAGGCTATCGAACATCGTATCATTTGCTTCGATATTAGGGTTGGAAGATTAATTGACTAAGGTCTTGCTTCCGTAAAAATCAACGAGCCATACACGATGAAAATCCAAAGGAAGGCCGCGGTTCTTTCGCGATCATGATCGTCTTTGGGTTATCTTCAAGGTCAAGCAAAGAGGGCAAGCAATGGCCACCCACATTCGGCATGCAAAAGCTCCCTCCAACCCACCCACCTCCCCCCTCCTCCCTCTTCCTTTTTCACCAATATCTAAAGCACAGAAACAGCTCAAAGACAAAAAGAACGTATATCTCTCCGTCCGGTCCCCGTCTCTTTCCGTCACCCTCCGTTTCGATCAGCATCGTCCACCCACGTCGCCCTCACGTAGTCAAGAAAGGAACAAGCCAAATCCGGTCATTAAACTCCATTTTGCTCGCGTGGTCCTCCAGCATGCATCGACCCTTTTGCCTTCACGAGAAAAGCAGAAGAAGACGTCTGTTGTTTATGCAGTAGAGAGGTGGGGGGGGACCTTTCAGTAAGCTAATTGTCTCACATGGGCCTCGTCATTAGGCAATTAATCGCCATTCGGGAGTCGGTAATCATTGCGCGGGGTCCTCCGATGGGCCCGAGAGGGACTCTCTGTTCAGGCCCAGCTCAGCCCCACGTCACGTCATTGGTGGACAACCGTAAGCCGAAAACAAAAAACAAAGAACAGCACATGTGGTTGGGTTTTCATATTTGCATACGCCTAACTCCCTAATAAAAAGCCGTAAATCAAATCCTGATTTTGCCCTGAAACTTTTTCTTTCGGTCTAAAAAAAATAATCTCCATCTTGCGCTATAAACCCAAATATGTTCGCCTGTCCAAAAATCGCAACCGGCTTTTTGGAAATTATCGACATCGGGGCGAGTTGGAGGTTCAGTATCAAAACCCACGTCTTCATCGACACCCTCACCTTCGTACGGATTAACAGCAACTTCTTGACATTGAAAATTTTGAAGAAATCAGTGGCGATTTTTCAAACGCGTGGACAGATTTGAGATTGGAGTGAAAGTTAGAACTTTTCTTTAGAAAAAAAGATTCAGAGCAGAATTGAGATCGGACCTATGGTCGGGAATTTTTTAGGGGATTGTCTCTATTTGCATAATGTCATGTTTGATCGAGGGTAGTTGTGAGTTGAGTTTTTTTTTTTTTTTCCGAAAATAGGGAGTTGAGTTGAGCTCGAGGTGTGCCTTCTTTCTTCTTCCCAAGACAATCCCGTGTCCCGCAAACTGTCTTAACCTCGGATGCTCTCTCTCGCTGCATCCGTGCTGTGGAATTTTGTGCAGATGGATACAATTTTAATGAAGGGGATGGATGGAAGGCACTTGTTGCCTAAAACGGGTAATTTCAAGGTCTTGGGTATACAAAACTTAAAAAAAATTTACCCAATTTTACTTTTGAGGTACTTTTTTTTTATGTAGATTTGGTTAAAGTGTGTCATAGAGCAATTAAGTGAGAAAACAATGCATGAACATTCCTTGTGATATATGCAGTTTTTTTTTTCTCTGTCCTATTTCTAACTCTCATTATTCTTCTGGCTTTTGCTTTGCCGTAGGAGTTGAAGTCGAACTCCATACATGTGATACTAGCATCCCCACCCCCTCCAATTCCTTTACCAGCAGGGCCGCATGCCTATTGGCTTGTGATATATGCAGCTATAATGCTCTAAATTGAACATCTATAGTGTTTTAAAGAAAATGTTTAAATTGAGTATCCCCCAAAAACAATTACTATAATTCCCTTAGACCATGTTTGTTTATTGGGAATGACAAGAGTGAAAAGAGAATGAAGCCCCGTTTAATATTATGGTATTTGGTGATTTGAAATAAAAAAGGAATGAAATTATGCATTGGAAATGAAAAATGTTTCATTGCCCTGTTTTCAAATATGTGGGAATAGGTGGGTAGGAGAGGGCTCATTAAAATTAAGAAAAAAAGGAAATTTCATAAAAGGGGGAATATTTACGACAAAAAAAACGAGCAACTAAATCAAGAAACGTGATGTAATATTCTCTCAATTATGCCAAGAACACATTGACTCTATTTACTAAAAATTAGATGGAGCCCATGATCACTCGTTAATGTATTGAGCCCAATAAAGAATTTCTTCGAAGTACTTTTGGTCTTATATAAATTTGTCATCAACTCCATCGAGCAATAGCAATTCTGTCTTCTCATAATAGCAACCGACCCAACAACCCAAAAGGTTAGGTTTGTGATATATAAAACATGTTTATGGTTGGTCTTAATTAGTTTCACAGTATGTCATAATATAAAGGATGCTTTTGTGAATGTTTTTCTCCATTGATGGTGACTCTAATATAAGAATCATTCACTCAAACTTAATTTGGGTTTTAAACTTAAGAGGTCACGCCGTCACTCCATTGATGGAGCACCACGTCGTGCACTTGACTGGTATGGTTTGTATGCATCAGGTGAGAACCGGTCGATCGGAATTTTCACGTACCCATATTAAAAATAAAAAATCTTTCGGGAAAATTACCAAAATAATTCTAAACCTATTGTAATTGCGCTAATTGAGTCATAAAATTTTTTTGTGCCAATTGAGTCTTGAATATTTTGCATTTGTGCCAATTCAGTCCATCTGGTTAAGTTTGGTTGGCCGGCGGAGACATAGACACCAACCATCCTACGTGGCGCGGTTATCGCTGATGTAGACAATTTTTAATGATATTTTAACATTTATTTTTATTTTATTTATTCTTTTCTTTTCTTTTTCCCCTCTTTTTTCTTTTCTTTCCCTTTTTTTCCCCTCCCTTCCCTTCATCTTGAACCTCTAGCCGGTTGCGGATTCCGGCCACGCCACGTAGAATGGCCAATATCCATGTCAATGTCGGCCGTCCGAAATTAGCCGGATAGACTGAATTGGGACAAATGCAAAAAGGTTTATGATTCAATTGGCACAAAAAAAATATTTAGGACTAGATTGACATAATTTCAATAAGTTTAGGACCGTTTTAGTAATTCTCCCAAAATCTTGGCTTGTTCAATGTGACCTTTAATCATTTTCGTCATGAAAGGCAATGATGAGCGGTACCCTTCGAACTTTGCCAATGCATTGATGATAATGCAATATCCCAAAACACCAAATTCGATAGCGGGAAGCTAATTTTCAATTTTTGCCAACCTTTTAAATTTCACCAATGATTCTTGCTTCAGAGCCTCTTTCAAGGAAGAGGCTTACATTTAAATTCAAAGCTCAACAATCATCATTACCATCATAGTGGCTTTCCTAAAGGTTGTTTCATTGAGTAAAAGGAGGAGTGAAATAACTGGCCTCCTCTAGATCTAATTATTTGGACCAAAAAAGAAAAAAAGATCTAATTATGTTTACTAATTGCTATGTACCCAAATCTAAAACTCCTGTATCTGACCAGAAAATCAACTTGATGTCCCTGTAAATCTTCCTTGGTCTTTCTGTTTTCCCTCAAATGTGCTGCACAGGCAAAATGTGAAGAGAGTAATAAGCTCAATTTGTTTGTCAATTAGCCGATTTGTACATGCATTTCCTTTTTCACGTCCGCATATTAATTATCGAAAAGGATATATCATGTTAGATGATGTAGAAATTGTACTTGATGTTTCTATTGGTGAAATGTTACCAAGTCAATTCATTTGAATTCAGCATGAGAAAACTATTATTAGAAAAGTTAAGAAGACTTTTTCTGTAAAACCATCGTGAGATCATACATCTGCAAACCCATTGGCCTTTCCTTCAGATATCTTACATTAACCCAAATACAATCCATATTGCGATTAACTCTGAAGGCCTTGTTTTTTAAGTAAATTGGTCAGGTGGTCAAAATTTCATCTTCGCAAGCAAGTTAGGTTCTTTCCTAGACAACCTTGAAATGCATCAATGCTTACTTGTCGAGCCTGTCTGCGACAGTAAATTTCATACCGACCGCCTTTTCTGATATCAACCGAGAAATCTTTGCCAAGTGAAAAATTGGAAAAATAGTTCCGAAAATAAATGGCATTCTCGACCGTGTTGAATTGACATAGTTTCCTATGTAATATTAAATCAGCTGCAGGAGTACACGAGGAAAGAAAGAGAGTGAAAACAGAAGTTCAGGGGCAATATCTATGTGCCAAGTTCTATAAATTATTATTTTCTTCAAGCAAGTGAAACAAATACTGAATCTTTCTATGTGCTAAGTCCATATTTCCCTTACGAAATAAATACTATTTTGCATAGTATTAGACCAATATTTCTTTCACGCGCTCAACATATCGAAACAAAGATAGGATTTAATAATAGCCGACCCTCGTTATAATTTAGGGTGTGTTTGGGTTTTGTCACTCATCCAAGAGGGCGCACGACTTCTTAGAATTAGCAGAAAACACATTCGAATATTTGTATAAAAGATCGATGAATTGTTTTTAAAACTGAATTTAAATTAAGATACAATGGAGTTGTATGACCTTTTAAAATTGCCGTTTTGTATTAATTCGGTTATGTGCCTGGATCGATCATCCTACTGCAGGCATTGACTTGATTGGATTGGAGTCTTCAGGCAGAAATCTAATGCTGCAAAACGATTTTGCATTTGGTTTATGACATTTAGAGAGGCTATAGCTTTGATGGGGAACTCCACTCGCATGTTGCCGTTCAGTTTCTCCAGTTTGGCAATCTGTACAGGAGGAAAGAAAACAAACGAGGACATTTCGTTGTCGTCGATGTCGAAGTTTGGTTTTTTTATTCTGTGTCCGAAGCTGGAAAGGTACAATACAAGCCACCCCCGTGCAATTTTTCTTCGTCTACTCATGCCTGTGACGCCACAGAGAGAGAGAGAGAGAGAGAGAGAGAGAGAGAATGGCGGAACGCGGAAGTTCTGAAAATGGAGGCAGCCCCATTTCCATACGTATCTCTCTCTCTCTCTCTCTCTCTCTCTCTTCAAAATGGGTCCCATCTCCACTCCCACAACTGTCACTTATTTTTTTCTCCTCCTATCCCCCAACAGCTGCATCGTAAAAGCTCTCGCCTTTTACTTTCTCAACCCTTCTCTCTCCTCTCTCTCTCCCCCCTCTTCCCACTTTTCTCAGTCTTTAATGGCAGCCCGTATGTAATCCCTCCACAAAAAGTAAAGGGTCGGTGCTAGATGAGCATTTGGGCCCTTCTTTTTTGCTGTCAAAAGATGCCACCATAGATTACATGCGAAAGAAGGCAAAGCCTTTGATGCTCTCGTGGTGTTTGTCAGAATTCGCATGGAGAATCTGATTTGTGTTTCTTCTTGGGAAGTCTAGAGGTTTTTTTGTTTTGTTTTGTTTCGTTTCGTGATTGGTGAGAAAGAGCAGATTCCCTTGGTGTATCATGGTTTTGGTATCGAAGGGTGAGGCTGTCAAAAGTTCTCGGTTTTGACGACAAGTCTTTTGGCATTTGGAAGAGAGTTCGGAGCATTGGTGTTGTTCTTTATGAGCTGGAATTTGAAGGGTGACTTTGGATTGCGTATACTTTGCTTTTCAAGCGGGACCTTGTATTGCTTCAGCGGAAGATTGAGTTCGATAACCAAGTGTTTGGATCATCAAATGTGAATTTTGTTACTTGGTTTGTTGAAGTTGAGTTTGAGTTATGACCCATTCTTATTTCGAGAGTCAATCTTAGCTTGCCTCACTCTGTGATTTCTGTCAAAGGATGGTGTGCCGCCATCATAACTCAAAAGTTTGTCGAAGAATGCATCTGAGCAGACATCAAGGCCTTCGATACCCTGCCCTGCTTAGGATATCATCTTGGGCTATGCTTCTGTAGTATAGAAACCTGTGGAGCTAAAATAGGAAGTCGCAGAGATTCTGAGGGAGCTATATTTTAGTTTCCTCCGAACAGAGTCGAACTCCACCAATTTTCAACTTTGAGGTACTTTCTGATGCATCCGTGTTTTTGTACATCTTCCGAGTTATTTGATCAAGTATAATCCTTGATTAACGGATGATGATTTTGATTTCATCTATATGTCTCATATCCTGCAGATTGAATTTTTGGTTCAATTGGGATATGTGTGTGTGTGTAAGCAGCTCTCTGCAAAACCCCATAATGAGTTGTTCTCATGGTGCGTGGCAAAAGATGACGAATTTCCTGTTAATTGATTTGGCAGTGGACCAATTTTTGGAACTTTGAAGGATTTGACAGCAGAACTATAGTGTTTTAAGTGTTGAGGTTGCTTTAATTAAGACAAAACACGTGAGATTATTATGCGATTTCAGAATCTTCTTGTCTGATTCACAGCCAGCACATTTTGATTATTCTTCACTAGGTCTCTTTGACATTGTTTCCTAAACCTTTTGCAGCAGGTGTCAAAATTTTGAATCAACTTGCAGAAATTGGATTGGATATACCTTCAACATGACAAAGAGGTCAAAAAAGCGTGTGGTGAGGCATGAAAGGGATCAGTTAGGCTGCATGTGGAGTTTCATTAGTATTTTGGATTTTCGCCATAGTAGACCCACTCGGAGGCTATTATCAGATAGAAGGCGAGGAAGCAGCCATGCTGGTGGTAAGGCCCCCTAATTGATTAGCGAGATTGACAAGCACTCAAGTCTTTTTCAGATTGAAGAATTACTGCTCATAACACATGGTGGTTTTCCTGCTACCTATTACCACACTTTTTGTATATGAAGTAGTGCACTTGTGTTTTACTTCGTATGTCTGTCTTCTTATGATTTTGTGTAGGTATTATATATTCTATATCAACATGATTTTTTAGGTCATTCAAGAGTTGGTGTTCATTTTATTGTTCGAATTCTCTTCTATCCTGCAGATGAGCAACATTCAGTGAATGAGTTTGAAGTGTTGACCAATCTGGATGAGAAACTTGAAGTCACCCCGGTAAGATTCGATAGCATAGACAGTAGGTTTCTCAAGTTTCCCCATCGGATGATTGTAAGGCGTAAGCAGTTGGGTTGTTAAGTTTCCCCATTCGGTGATTGCAAGGCACTGATTGAGAAGGATATCTATTTTTTTAGCTGCGACTAACTGAAAAAGATTTTTCAGGATGGTGAAGAGAGCTCAACTGTTGCAGCTGACGGGGGAAAACCTAGTGTGAAGATACTCATGGAAGAAGAAATGGTAGGCGAGCATGATACAGATATTAAAGTGAAAGATTCCAAACTAGTGTCCAAACAATCTGATTTGGGAGATGAAGATTGCAGAAGGAAAAACCGCAGAAGACGTAAGAAGTCTTCTAGGGGAAGCTATGACATGGACAATGCCACTGAAAGCTTGGCATCCAGATGTGCTGATCTCGACGCGAACCAGGACCGCACAAATAGCCATAATGAAAGTTCTACAGCCGAGAACATTTGTGTTGAGATCTGTCAGGAAACTATAGAAACTGGAAAGAACCACAATGATGCCGAAGTACAGATTCAGGTAAACTCGAAACATGCTGATCTCAAAGAAAAATTGTGCGAAGCAATCAAGGAGTTGATAAATCAAAAACTCAAGAGTGGGAAGCATCTCACAGAGGATGGAGGGACTCCCTTCTCTAAAGAACTGGTTAATGCGCTTCAGATTCCGAACTTAAATGAGGACTCATTTTCGAAACTCCTGGAAGATCCAGACTCAATCTTGGTTAAATACTTGCAAAGCTCGCAGGATGCTCATTTGAGGAGAGACACTTTGTCAGAGTCATTTGCAGAATCTAATTTATCAAAAGAGAAGCATGACAAATCCGACGAATCACAAGAGGTTGTTAATCATAAGTCTTACAAGTTCTTTAGAAGAAATGTCAAGTCTCACGAAACAAAGACACTCGGGGAGATTGAGAATCCTCAAACTTCTAATAGAATTGTTATTTTGAAGCCTGGGCCAGCAGAATCGAATAACTCTACAGCTCTGGACAGCACCGACACATTTCTAGGACATTCGCCGGACGTTGTCCATAAAGGGCAGGGTGAGAAAGCAAGTAGGCACTTTCTTATTTCGGAGATTAGGAAAAGATGGAAAAATGTGATGGGAAAGGAGCAGCATGGCAGATCTCCTGGTGGTGTTACGAAAAGACTTCCTGATGGTGGTAAAGCAAACATGGGAGAAAATAATGGGATGAATTCTCCAGGAAAAGAGCACTTTTACATGGAGAAAATTGCTAGACCTGTTGCGAAAAAAAGAGAAGAAAAGACTGTTAAGCCAAGAGACTCTGAAGCAAACAAAGAATATGAAAATGTTAATGAGTCCAAGCGAAGAGTGTCTAACATCTATATTGAGGCCAAGAAGCACCTTTCGGAAATGCTGAGCACTGCAGATGAAGTGACAGACTTTTCAAATGGGCAGTTCCCAAAATCTCTTGGGAGAATTCTCTCTCTTCCTGAATACAACTCCCCACTTGCTAGTCCAGGAAAGATGCTGGAAAGCAGCTTGGTAACTGCACAGATGAGATTATCTGCCCATCTCAGGTCTCCGAGGGTTGATGAAAATAAGGAGAGGCAAATAGAAGAAGCAAATGATAGCCATCAAGGTCCTTCAGCTCCAAGTACAGAAAGTGAGTTGTGCATTCTGGTAAGTTGTGATGATAAAATGCAAACATCTGACAAAAATCTGACTCTATTGGATGAGCCTCTTTCCAGTAATGAGGTGGAAGAGACCTCTGCTTCGTACCTGAGTCTCAAAGGTAATTTTCACACCCCCCCAATTGTTTTTGTCCAAATCAAATTGTAACTCACATGCATTATTTTGCAGACTCTGAAATTCTTATAGCAGTTGATGATATAATCAATGAAGAGCATGTCTCCAAGGTTACTTCCACCAGCAGTGCTAGTCCAGCCAGCCTCCAATGTGGTGCAGAGGATCATTTGGCTGAAGATATTGATGATGATTATACTGATCCTGATCATAAGAAAGAGGTAAAAAAATTTCAATGATGCATGTTCCCTTGTTTAGAGACCGAGTCATATCTTCTAGATGCTAAATGATGAATTGATGAAGTAAAAAGAAATATCATGATGTAAAATTGAATTTCTTGAGGAAAGTGTATCCAAATCCGTATGTAATATTGCAGTTTGAGTCCTATCAGTAAAAGAGGTCTACTCATTTAATTTTACTTCTAGACTTGGTATAGTCTTTTAACAAAAAGAAAAAATTCTAGATAATTAATAATCAATAAATAAAGGAAAAGAAGAAATAAGTCCTCAAAAGATGCATACATTATCTATACAAAGAAAAGTTGTATCTCTAAGTCGTATTTATTTTGTCAGTTAGAAAAAAGATAATATAAATCCCATACATAGCATGGATCGTTACTACTGGAACATATGATAGTGCGCGGGTTGATTAGCTTTTTGTTTTGCATAACAAATCAATGCACTGCCGTCTTTTATAAAGTTAAATCTTCCAAACCTGGTATTATTAATAAATAAGAGTCAATTTGACTAACATGCCCTTACACAAACGGAAACTGCATTGTGTTTTCAGAGTGGTTTTCTCCTCTTCAACAATTTCAATCCCCCTCCCTCTCTCCAAGATTCCTTTTCGCTGAACCCTGTATGGATAATGCTTCTGCCTTCGTGTGCATGTGACTCTTCTCCATCTCTGAGGAAAACCAGTCTCAGGGTGATTTCGTTTCCTGTGTGCATTGCCTCTCTTAGAGTCATGAGCTTCATCGACCATCCTACAGCGTCAGGGGTCAAATGAGGCTACTCTAGAATCTAAGATCAAAGTTGCAAATAAAAAAGAGAATCTAAGATCAATAGTTATTTGATCAATATTCTACGTTCTTGACTATTTTTGTCATTGACACTTCGTCGTTGGTGTTGTGTGCTCTGCCCTTATAGATCATTTTCAATAACATCAATCAAGCTCTCTTTAGCCAAAGGGGTGGCTCACTGGAGGCTTCAAACTTCATCCCCAATCTGTAGAAGTTGAAGGCAGAAACAGAAGTTGCAATGAACATTTGCTTTTCCTTTTTTTTCTTGGGAAAAGAAAACTGTGTTTACAGACACCCCTCGCCTGTTGAACAAAATAAGTTTCTATCATTTGCAAAGTGATAACTTTAAAATCGAAAGATTATGTCACTCATAACAATCATTTCAATTGCTGTCCCATTTTCAGTGGCTAATACACATAAAGCCAATTGGAGTAATTGGTGAGGATATGGGGCTATTGTTGTTAGGCTGTCCTCGGGCAATGAGTTTGTATGGTTGGAATGTCGAATTAAGTAAGTGTGATCTTAAAGGGGGGGATATCATTCAGACATATGAGTGGTATAGAGAATTCTTTTCAAAGTGAATCTCTTTGAACTGGAAAGGAATAGAGAAGAAAAGCAGACGTAATGAGAGAGAAAAGGTTGCAGATTGGTTGGAAGCAACGAAATACAATAAATATGGAATTTTCATTTAAGTGGCTTTGTCTGCAGCAGTTTCTGTGGAAATAGCACTGGCCTATATATGTATATATGTCAATAGAGCCATCTGATGTCAAATGGAATAATGAGAACAGAGTATAGATCTTGTGATAACTGAAACTGTTAATAGAGCCATCTGATGTCAAATGGAATAATGAGAACAGTGTATAGATCTTGTGATAACTGATAAGTACATTAGCAACGGTAGAAAAATTTGCCTTGTATTCATCATCTCTCCAATCTGTTGCTATCTGCTTCATTTTGTGGTGCGCATTCCAGTATGAAATCACATTTCTTCATGAGCAGGAGCCTCACTCCAATGACGAACTACATGCATCTCCATTTGCATCCCCATCAAGCTCTTCAACGATTCAGAAGGTTGTGGATTTAGAAATCGCTGTCGACAAACCTGAGAGACAAAGTCCTGTATCTGTTCTTGAGCCACTGTTCATGGAGGATGACATAAGTCCTGCTAGAACTGCATCTCGATCTGGTAGGCCTGGGCATTTTATGAAAAGAAAATATATGTGTACGTATATATTAATGGGCTCATGATTATGGGCTTACTTTTGTTGTTCGATAATTTTTCTGTAGAACCATCAATACAACCACTGAAGATCAAGTTCGAGGATGAAATGCCCCATACTCCCAAGCATGGTATTCATATCAAAACGTCTATGGAGGGCAAGGAACCGTTGTTGGGGTATGTAGAAGCTGTTTTGCATGCCTCTGGCCTGGGCAGGCAGGAATTTTATTTGAGATCAGAACTTTCAGACCAGCTTATTGAGCCATCGGTGTTTGATGAAGTGGATTTCTTCTATGACCAACTTCATTTTGACCAGAAACTTGTGTTTGATTGCATAAATGAGGTCCTTCTGGAGGTCTGTCAGCATTACTTTGGTTGTTCTCCTTGGGTTTCATTTGTGAAGCCAAGCATTAAGCCAGTCCGTGACATAAGAAGTGCAATCTATGTGGTGTGGGAAGGAGTTCACTGGCACCTCCTCCCACTCTCTCCACCTAGTAACTTGGAGCAGATTGTTAGAAAAGACATGGTGAAATCTGGGAAGTGGATGGACCTACGTTTTGATTCTGAAAGCATCGGGTTTGAGATGGGTGACGCTATTTTTGATGAACTAATTGACGAGATAATCGACTGCTGCATGGAGGAAAGTTGAGGAATTGTATATTGTTTCAGGTTGGATGGAATTTTGAAAATGACCGCAGCATCGGCTTCATTGACCTATATCATTTTACAGCATGACAAGTGATTGACCCGGCGAGTTCCAAGAAAACTCCGATCAAGTCATTATTAGCTTTGCTTGACGGAGGGGTTTGGATCAGTCTTCTTAAGCGCAAATGACACGACTCTCTCTAACTTTTTCCTAGTCTCATGTTTTAACTTGAGCTAGTTCCACCAATGCAAGAAGCATCTGAGGCCGGTCTTCCATGGTGTCTGTGTTGTACAGACGATGACTGGTCTTTGCAAGGAACATGTTCTCCATGTTGTTCCAATGCTGATGATGGTTCTCAACTCTTAATGCTGGTCCATCCATTCCCTGCGGCCATAGGCATTTTCTTGCCATACTGTAAAGTTTAGGGTGCTTATAGCCTCTTGTTTGTGTGTGTATGTGTGTGTGTCATTTTTCCTTATTTTCCCTTTGCAGACATTTTCCTGCACCGTTTCAGGTTTGATCTTTTTGTTCATCTTTTCCTTTGCTCACTTGTTCTTCGTGTCCCTGGCATTGCTATTGCAATTGCCGAGTTTGGAGTGGTGATGATGGTCGTGACTTTTCTTTCAGATGTGTTTGTATAGAAGGGAAACTAGGATTACACAAAAAGAATGCTGTAAGTACTGTACGAGTTGGGATTAACGTGCTTCAGATTACCGAAGTTATTCTTCTTCATTCTCATTTAGTCCGTTGTTAGGCAATGCAACCATTCACCAACATATCATAAGTGTGCGGTTTCAAGAAAGCCCACCGTGGGAGCACATGCGCGACTAATCTTGGAATTAAGCGGGTTTTATTGTACAAATTGCATACATTTAAGTACTTTGCTACTCCATTTCCCGCAAGGCAATGACGTTTAACTCATGTTCTTGATGGGGAAGTTTCTGCTTGTAAATACTTTTGCAGGAGGACAAAAAAGGGGATGCTTAAGATGCATCTGGATTTGGACGTGTAAATTCCTTTTCGACAAAAATGGGATGGTGTGACTTTGTTATTTTTCCGATCTCTTTTTCTTCTTCCCATCCTCTGTTGGTGAAGCAATGGTCTAGTATCTCATACTCAGACACTGGATGATAGAAAAACAGACAACTGGAGGAGTGGGAAGTAAGTAAATGCAAAGTAGCTATATTCGGTACGAAATAGTACGCCGTCGTGATGAACTGTCTGATATTTCAGCCAAAGAAAAGCGAACTGCTTAATTAATTGGGCTATACACTACCAAGAAAGCTTGTTTACAGATTTACGCTCAGATTAGTGCTTGAAACTTAGGAATACGTGAACTACCATGCGGACCACGACATTTGTTTCCTACTGATCTTCGTTTCTCATGGATGTATCTACAAAGAGCACGTCTTCGATCCACGCAACGATGTTGAATGCTAGACCTTCCAGGACTCTCGAGTAGCTCTCTAGTATTGCTTGTCCCACATCCTGCAAGATGTGTTTCTAGTTCAGCACATCCATGAACTACTATCATAGAAAAGCAAGGACTTGGATCCCAAAGATACGAGGTCCTTTCTTTCGGATTATTGTTATGATGTGTTTTTGAGCGAGATTTCAGCGAATTTAAATGATTAGCTACGAAAAAATGTTGGCAGGAAGTTTCACTCACCCTGTTGTATTGGATCTTGCATATGTCCAAGCTTGTCTGAGAGAGCTCGGGATACCTCTGCTTCAGGGAAAGCAGTAAGCTCTCTGCTCTCTCTGCTAACATATAGTTTTTGTCGCTTCGGCCGGTCTCCAGCATGAAATCCTTTACCATGGTCCATGATGGTTTTGAATGACTGATACATGCCTTCCTTCTCCATGTATACATTGAAGCTTCGACTCTGTCTGCGAGATTGAGTGCTCCGTGCTCCGACGATATGTTTAGGAAGTCCAGTAGATGATCCGGAGAGAATTTGTCTGCTGCGTGTATATATCTGTATATTGTGTCTCCAACACTCGCTCTTCCACTCTAAAAAGAAGAGAACAGACAATTTGTTTCTGTGAACGAGACTTTCACAAGCAAGAAAACGGGTAACTGATTCAACTGATATTCACAGAATAGGATGGGTTTAGCAGGGAGTCCGAGTGATTTCATACTTATGTGTAGTGAAGATATTGCTGTTGCTATAACTCAGTAACTGTTCATTTTTTTTCTCAAACTATTGAACAAAGACATTCATTCAATTCAGTTGAGGGAAGTTAAGTTATTCTAGCAATAACCAAGAACTTCTTTAGATAAATGGACACGATGATTTTAAGATGACAAAGATAATTCCATTTTTTCCCTTTTTATCAACTTTGGCATAACTTAATTAGTACTCAGAGAAGCGTAACACTAGACAAAGAAAAAATAAATTTAAGGGTTGAACCCAACCTTTGGAAGAGAGGTCAAATAAGAATCAGGGATATCCATCTCGTCTAGGAGACTGCTGTTGATTGCCATAGCGGCTTTGTGAATTTGAGTCGCACAGTCGCGCTTCTGCTGCAAATGCTTCCTCGCCTTCTCTGATAGGCCTCCAGGACTTATGCATGGAACAGGCAACCACCATTTCTCTTCTTTGCGCTGTGCAATAGCTCTCCTGAACGATCCCCTACAAGTCGAGTTCGGTGACATGCTCCCGTGCTCGGCATACCAGAATTCTGTCTCCTCGAAGCTGTCCAGTATTTCCTGACCAAACCAAAATCCAACTTCTCATAATCCGAAGAAGAGGAATCAGACATGCCAATTAGATCTATGAACGGAACATGCGGGTGCTCACCAGGAGCATCGCGTCGAGCTTTCTCAATGCAGGGAGGTTGATGAATATGTCCGATCTCGGTCTGCTTGTCATCACCTGGAAGGCCATACAACGTCGTGACAAAAGTAGACAAGAAAACAGCATGCACCATTAAAAAAGGTGTTCTAGAGGATGGCACAAGCTCAAGACTTCACACTTCACCTCGACGGCCGTGCCATCCTGTAAAGTCTGTAAGGTGGGGGCAAATTCCACGATGTAGTTGCAGACTGATAAGAGGCAGTTCATTTCTCTCTTCCACATCGCCTTCTTCTCGGGGTTCAGAGGCTCCAACCTTAAATTTTGCCCAAATACAGTAGCTGCATATGGTAACAACATGGATAGACATAAGTCAAACCATATAACATTCATAATTCACTGATATAATTGATTCTGCTCAATGTCAAAATCACTAAAAATTACCATAAAGATTGGTTATGGCATTAGAGATTGTCACAGCTGTGCAGACTCCTTTCCCACTCCCAGACATGTCCTCACCCAACAAAAGCTTTGCGAATCTCTCCTTCATCATCTCAAGCTCTACGACAGCTAAAAACATCAATACGCACTCTGACTAATCAATATTGTTTTTTATTTTTTGGCCGAGTACCAAAAGATATCCAATGGAAGTTGAAGTGGCAAAAAAAAATAAGGCAATAAAATTGCTCACCTGAATCCAATGATTCAAGATTGTATAGGTTCTCATCTAGATACTGCTTTTGCTGCTTCACATCGAGTCTGTCAAATGTGATCTGGTTATGGCGTCCGGACTTGACACTCGGCCAGCACAAAGGGGAAGGCTCGCTAGAGGAGCAGTTATCGTCTGTCCGCTCCGAATATGTCGAGGCCTCTGAGTTAGTGCGGCAAAACACGAAAGAGTCCGCGCTCGTCGGGGTCTCGGTCTCAGTGGTGGATTGGTCATTTCGATCGGGCGGAGAAGGTGAAGCTTGGTAACCCAGTTCAGAATTCTCATCCAAAATCGACAATTTTTCCATTGCAGAAATAGTCGAGTTTGTGGAGTGCTCCTCAGCGCTGCACATCATCATGAAAAGCCTCATTTAGGATTTTGTGGCAGTTTGGTGGGGTCTTGACTCAACTCAGAAGTTCAGGATCACGATGGAAGCACATTAATTTGTCTTATATAAACAGAGAAATTCATGCAATTCCTGAACGAAAGAAAGACCAAGAAACATTGAAAAAGAAAAGAAAAGAAACATCATTGCTTTTCTTTTGAGCTACAAAAAGCAAAAGGGTTCTTTCACGGGTCGTTTTTGTTGGCAGGAATCTGAATTATTCACTGAAAAAATTCGCAGCAGCAAAGAGCATGGCTAATAAAGCAATGTTTGAACAAATATTATACAGCTGAAGGAACATGAAATTTGAAAAACTAAGGCAAAGGGTTAACCCAACCAAAAAAAAAGCAACGGTCTAACATATTCTTTACGTTACCTTTAGTTGCTTCCGCATTCGAATTTGAACCTGCTGGGTGTCACAACTCGCAACTAGCTATTTCAGAACCGTTTTTCAAACAGTTCCCTCCTAAAGCGCACACTCTCTCTGTCTCTCTCTCTCTCTCTCTCTGGCTTTTGAAATGCAATCACATGGTTTTGAAATGCATGATCCAATCCGGCTCTTTATATGATCGAAAAACAGATACCCGTCATCAGATATTGCACTTCTCAGAGAAGATTTCCGGAAAGCAACTGCTGAAACTTGAAAAGCAGCGATTTTCGGAATGTGTTGAACGAGGACAAGGGACGGTGGGAGATGGGTCTCGGTTAAATAGGAGCAGCTCATTACATGATGGTGTAAAGGAACAGCTCGAGAGAGTTATTTACAGACAAATTATAAGGTCTCGATCATCTCTCAGACGTGCAATAAGTTGACCGATCAATAACCGACGCATAAATTACAAGTACTGCTGTGGTTGGCGAAGAATAATCTCGTATCTTGCATGTCCATCCCTCATCCAGAGCCAGCCACCATCGGCTTCAACACTCTGCACCTGATAATTGTGGGCAAAAACAATTGTCCATTTCCAATCATTATAAGACAACAAAAACTGGTTTTGTTCAGGCCCGTGATTTGGCGTCCCCACTTTTTAAGATTTTTTCCACCGTCTTATTTTTCTGGTTTTTTGCATGGGAAGGTGACCCCATGGGGTGGTTGTTTCTGCACAGGAAAGTGTCTGAAATTGCTCACGTTGCTTTTTGGCATGATCTGATGGAATAGGTGTCGGACTTTAGAAACTTCTAACATTTTATAGAAAATGTCATGCAGGTTAAGTCTTGTCCAGGTTGCTGACATTGCATATAATAGTGTTATAGGCACCGGATTCCAAGGGTTTTCTGGCGGTCTTGTCATCAACTACTTTTTTTTTAGTTGATATCATGAAAAATCTTTACCGGTATACTAATGATAAATTTACTAAAAATTAATTTTTTTACCACAAAAAACTTCAAATTAGTAAACATGTGACAAATTTGCTCAAAACTAATCTTTTGACTACCAAAACTCCAAACTGATTCACCTGTGATAAATTTACCTCAAATTAATTTTTCGATCACCAAACCGTGACAAATTTATCCTCCGTTAGTTTTCGTCAAATTTGTTGACGTGGATGACATATGGTTATGTGGCAAGTATACATGGAAATCCATATGATTAATATCATAAAAAACCTCAAACTTGTACAATCAATTTGTTATAGGAATATCATTTTGTGATTTTTCGTGTTATTTACCCTATGGATTTCAAACGTGATACCACGTCACCATGCATGTGTCATTCAGGTCAGCAAATTTAACGGTAAAATTTGACGGAAACTAACGTAAAGTAAACATGGGTGTACCAGTTTGGGATAAATTTGTGACAGGTATATCAGTTTGAGGTTTTTGAC